TTTGCTTATTTGTTACATAGCCATGGAAAGTCACCATTTTATCCATTTTTCAGAACGGTAAACCATCTATTTCTATGGAGTTATACATGATATTTCCATATATGTTTCCCCCCCCGTTTTTTTTTGTGAATACTGTATACATGGATCATATTGGGATCATAATACATCATAATACTGGAGTTATACATGATATTTCCATATATTTCCCATTTTTTTTCTGAGTTATTCATCGAATTCGCCACGTGACGCACAGGCGATGCCCAGGTCGCCGATTTGGAGATGCTGAAGATCACCATCCAAGAAGAGATTCTCCTTGGCTCAGATGCCGGTGCCAGCGGAAACGCCCGCCGTTGCTTGCGGGCAAAAAGGGCTTTTTTGGAGATAAAAATGGGAGAAAAGCCAAGAAAAATCATGATTTATAGGGTTTCATTGGGAGAAAAGCAACCAAAATGATGATTATTCATGATTTGTGGGGTGAAAGCAACCCACATAGTGTCTATGTTTTATATCACTTCTTGGGAAAACTGGTCTTGGGCTGACTATTCAACATGGTGAAGGGCATGAACCGTCACAGCCCGTGCTGGCTCTGCAAAAGACTGTGCCTAATTGGAATTACATGGGAGAATCATGGGATGATGGGATATATGTGATGATTGATGATGATTTATCTATGAATAATGGTGATTTTCCATAGCTATGTGAAATAAGTAATAACCAAAGGGTGTCGCAAGTTGATTTACAGTAGCTGTTCGATTGAAATATCACAAAAAATCATGGGAATGCAAGTAGGACAATCTTCAAGGTGTGTGTAGTTGCCATACATGTCTTGCCAATTTTGACCTGTGCCTTTCAAGGCGGTGAGGACTTTGATCAGGGAAGATCCAAGACCAAACTCCGCAGGTTTTGGTCTTTCGTAGGCGCTTGGTGTTTCACCAACCTCCAGAAACACTGCCGTCACAACAGAATGGCCACCATTCACACAGGCACATCGAGTTTCATGTTCATTTCGAAAACAATGTCAGGTATGTATAGATGTGTAAGTTGCAAAACATTCCTGGTACGATTTCGACCACGAGTTTGAGCACCCTCAGGCGGCCCCCGGTACCAAGTTTCGCTCTTCAAGTCTCTGTGGATGATGTCCTGACCTTAGCGCATGGGGGCCATGGGGGCCATGGAGGCACCTGGTGAATTCACAGGTCATCGTTTGCTGTGGGTACCCGGCCTGGTAAACATAGAAAAAGCTATTGAAAATGGCCAATTATAATGGGTTTTCCCATTTAAAATGGTGATTTTCCATAGTTATGTTGGTTTACCAGAGGGTATAGTTCATGGTTGATTAAACCTTCACCGTTAACGATCACCAGTTACCCTCCTGTAAACTAAACCCATTGAAAACCCACCATTTGTGGACGCCCTCTTTCCTATGGAACACGTGTTTTTTCCCACATCTATCTTAGTTATCTATCTTACAGTGATAGTTAGTCATCTATCAGGGATAGTTTACCATAGTTTACCACCATGTGGAACAATGTGGTGAACAGCACTTTCCTATGGAACCCTGGTTTGTTTCTTAGTTTGCCAACCACTTAGGCTGTGAACTCCAACCATCGTCCCTGAATCCAGGCCATCCGTGCCGTGGATGTGCTTCAAACCGATGAAGCCTTGCGTCATCCACCTGGGCGCGGCGCAACGCGATGAGAGAATCTGACCCCAAAAAAATGCTTTGGAAAATGAATCATTCTGGAAAAACCATAGAAGAATTCGATTCCAGGTGATCAATGGCCATATATGTAAGGGAATATCCCCACAAAATATGGCCTTATATGGTACAGTACCTCCATTTTAGGATGACCCCTGCCCCATCCCTTAATCTGCTCACCCAATTCACGCTTGAACCATCCACAAATCATTCGGATTCCAGGTGATTAGATGTTTGCAGGAATCTACTGTAGTTGCCAACAATGGTGAGGTTCCCTCAGTTAAGAACTAGTTGGTTCCGAGTTCAGCCACCAACTTGGATGCACGTAGTCGGCTCCGCCGATTGGTTTCCTTCGAGATCTTTCATGCACAATCCTGGATTCACCCATTTGTCTTTTGCCAGCTGCGAAGTGCCTTTCATTGCCTTTCTTTTGCAACAAAAAAACAAGAGTACCCTCTGGTAAACTAACATAACTATGGAAAATCATCATTCTTAATGGGTAAATCATTATTTCGATGGCAATTTTCAATAGCTATGTTAGTCATTACCAGAGGGTACCTACCTTTCACCCGTTGGTGTTCCCGCACCTCACCTCCTGGATGTCACATCAAGGCAGTTCTTCAATCCCATCGGGTCATACCCCCATGATGGTCCCTACGAAACCATGGTTTCTGGGGGGTGTTACATATTGTGAGGGATGATTCCATTCCAAAAGTCCACGTCGACATTTTTCGGGAAAAAAAACGATCTGCCATCATTGCCGTCATCGATTTGCAAAGAACTGCTGTCATCAACCGTGGCAATAAACACCAACCATCCGAACGCAATGGAGCTTGGCAGCTTGGCTGGGAAAATCATCCATAAATCAATGGGAATTTCAGGATCCTAAACTGGAGGTACCTACCATATATATGGCCTATATAAGGCCTATGTAAGTGAATATCCCCATAAAATATGGCCTTATATGGTACAGTACCTCCATTTTAGGACCATGAAATTCCCATTGAATAAATCATGGGATCTCCAGAAATTTCCCAACATCGACCATCCCCTGCCGATCGCTGGAGGTTTGTCTAGGCCCCACAGCCGCACCAGGGTGGCTTCAGGGATGCTATGATTCTTGCTGCGCGCCGTCTTCACCTGCGAACGAGATACCGAGAAAGCTTCAGGGGGCATATAATGGGTATATAATGGGCATAGAAAGGGCATATGATCATTATAATGAAATGGATTGGCGAATGGAAATCAAATATAGGGATAAACTCCAGTATCCAATGGGCAAAAAAGGAGTTATAATGGATTATAGTAGGGGAATCCCAGTATCTAATGGGCATATAATGGGCATATAATGGGTATATCACCAATATCATGGGTATACCGGACATCCAATTCGGATTGGTTCCAGGGACCCCGGTGAATTTCATCCCCGGGAAAACCCCATGGGAAACCCGGTGAAGATGTCCCTCAATGGCCATGCAACAGGAACCGATTGATTTGAGGTACCTAAGGCCTATGTAAGGGAATATCCCCACAACATATGGCCTTATATGGTACAGTACCTCCATTTTAGGATCCTGGAATTCCCATTGGTGTCCCCTTCAAATCCATTGAAATTATGATTTAGTTTGGTTGTGATTCATGGTTATCATCTGATCTTTTCAACAAAGGTTAACATAAATAACAATGAACTAATGGATAGGTCTTTCCGGGAAAATCGAAACCGGTCACCATGTTCTTTGTCATCCAGTTTTAGGGGTGTACTGGATTATTTCAATCATCCAATTCTGGGAATGAAACAACTCAGATCTTGGATCCCTACTATTACTAAAAAATACTGCATTTAAAAAAAAAAAACATGAATCTTGATGCAGCTTAAAGGATCTGTGTGAAATTGTGAAATTGTTGCGGCAGATTAGCATTGGGTCCGGGGTATTACTGGATTGGACTGGATATATTCATTGGATACACATCATTGAGTGATTTTCGCTCAAGTCTTAATGATTAGGCGACACCGAGGATTAAATCACAAAAAACAATGGAGGCCAAAGGTCTGAACAACGATGGATTTTGGGGGTTGTTGGAGATCAGTTGCTTGTTACAACACTGAACGTATCTTAAATCATGTTTTTGTTGATACATAACTTAAGTCAAGAACAGCTGGCCCGGTGATGTTTAATGTGCCCACCGTATGATCACAACTGTTCAACCCTTAGGGCGAAAACAAAAACAGCAGTAGAACGAAAGATGTTTACAACATTTTGAAACCACACACCCATTCATATTCAGTACCCTTTGGTAAACTAACAGTTTGCTATTGAAAATGGTCATTGAAATAGTTGATTTACCGATTAAAAAGGGTGGATCTTTCCATAGTTTGTGTATGTTTACCAGAGGGTAAGTTGTGCGGCTTGCCGGGGTGAGAATGTCCCATGGTAAACGATTCCCAGCATACCATTTTAACCCTCTGAATCGCGGGGTGATCTTTCGGGGCCGCTTTCGGCCAAATGGCGCATTGCGAAACGCACTGCACGAGGAATATATTCAGAAACAAACAAGCGACCCATACAGCAAGAACCATATATTTGGTACATTAAGACATATTAACATGAACCCTTGACTATGAATTCATGAAAATTAGTGAATTGTATTTTGCTGGAAAAAGCCTCAAAAAACCAACAACAAATTGGATTTCAGCACTTTCCATCTTTGGGAGTCCGTGCCCAAAAACGAGCCCTGCAAGTGGTATCACCTTCAGTGACCCACGGCAGCAAATTCGAGCTTGCGACAGACCAGGAAAAAGCAACGTATTCGCGGATAACAAGCTTGGCTAAGGCTGTAGATACTAGTATCTGTATGTCAAACATTGGATTTCCAAGAAGTATTAACTAATCAGATAATTTGGAGTCCCCCAAAAAGTAAGACTCGTCAACATTCCTTCCGGCTTGACGTGACAGCTACCAAGGAATTCTTCGTATCACTTCGGGTCGGTCCAACATTTTTTGCAGCCCGATGCCGGGATGCTAAATGGATGCTAATTTTTTGGATGGTATATTTCATACGGTTTACTCTCTGTCAAACTAACATAGCTATTGAAAATTGCCATTTATAGACTATAAATGAATTATATAAACATATTAAAAATGTGATTTTCCAAAGTTATGTTAGTTTACCAGAGGGTACCACATTATTCATTATCGTCATTTCGCTTCCAGCTGAACTGAATCCCTATCGGTCCCGGTTCCCGGAGGTTCCCGGTGTCAGCTGCGCTGTGATGCCAGGTCCCGTCGCAGCGCCGGAAAAATCAGCGCCGGCCCTTGGCCAAGCGTTTCTTACTCTTCTCGCGCAGGTTCCCGAAGTCTTTGTCCAGCCTGAAACAGTTGAATAAGACCCTGGTGTTAGTGAGATGAAAGGGGCTTGACTTGACAAACATCGAGATCATGGAGATTCAACCATGAACAAATTGTTTTTTTTCAAGGTGATAGTCGAAAAAACAACTCAGAAATGACATATCAAAGTTCTCGAGGATCTGCCCTCTGCTTTCTGACCCATTTACACATGATTTTGCCATGCGAAGACTGGAATTGTTTAGGCCAGCAATGTTTGATTCCCAGAGGATTACCGTCGCAAACCGACGCAGATCGGAAACATGTGCCGGAACTAAGCTCCATCAAAGGAAGATCCTTTTGGGGCAAAACAGGGTGAGAGGTTGAGGGACATGGGGTGTGAACTAGAGTAATTATGAAGCATGGGAACATCATGAAATGATTGCAAAACATCAAATTGACTGTTTTTTTAATCAACCAACAAATTCACACATAATCTCCAAAAAGATTATCTAAAGTCATGCTTATGTCACAGAGCACAGTTCAGTACCCAAGGGTAACCCACACCAACAAAGGTCCCGCCAAAATGAAGGATATAACGCTCCCTGGTGCAACGTCGTTACAAGTGAAAAAGCGCGGTTCATAATTGCTCCAACCTTACTAAATAAAGTGAGTCTGAGACCCACCACGCCATGTGACTATCCCAGCCAAACAATATCAATATACCAAGTCTTTCGTCTTTCAATGCGGCAAGGTTTCCCACAAACAAACATAAGCAAACCAAGTCTTCAAATCGTGAAAGTGAATCTTCAAATCTTGATATCTCTTTCTCTCTCTATGTATATATACGGTAACTACATTTAAATATACGGATTTAAAAATATACGAACAGGTATTTTAGACTACCTCTGGGGAGGGTTTTCCTTGGCCCGCCCGGCCATTTAAACATACGGAATCCAATTCATTTAAACATAACTACATTTAAATATACGAACTGGTATTTTATACTACCTCCTGGGCCTCGCGGTCTGGCCCGCCCTCCACATATTTTAATGTCGTTACCGTATAAATATATATATATATATCGATACCGCAGATATGAAATATACTGTGCGTATTTAAACATATCCATACAATCTTCAAATCAACCATGGTGAAGCATCACTGAGGCATACAAAAAACTGCCACTATAGTTGAACATAGTGTAACAATGTGTAACATAGTTCATATATAGTTGAAGATAGTAAGTTGATAATCTATGGAAAATGAAACTATCTGCAACGATATTCAACTATAAAGCATAACTCTGATTACCTTCTATTCCCCAACAACACATCTACATTTTCAACCCAAATAACTCACCATCAACAGATCTCAACCGCCCCGTTGTTAACAGATCTCCAGGTCGCAGGGTCTTCATCAACAGCAGGAAGTCCGGGAAATCCGCTTCGTGTCGTGGCGCGCAGGTTTCATGGAACATCCTCTCCAGCTCCTGACAGTGACAACGGACCAGGTCCTCCCTGGGAGGTGACAAGGGCACATTTGGTTGGTGCTTTCAACCATCTTGAAAGAACATGAAAGTCAATGGGAAGGATGACATCCCATAGATTATGGGAAACACCATGTTTGAAACCACCAACCAGACATACTTCGAATATTTTTTTGGGCTAAAGAACGTGTGCAAATCAGGATCAAAGCCGGAAACATGTAGGTTTGGGCATTTTCTGACGATCACATCGATCTGGTTCAAATATGGGACGCAGCAGCGAATTGCAATGTTAGCCATATTTCCTGGTCTCACTCAGTTTAAGTCTTCTGCACGCCAGATTCTCTTCGAGATGCTCATTTGGAACCATTCTCCAGGTTACAATTGCAACATGATACCAGGTCCTTAATCAATGTCACCCTTGTTCAGCCCAACATCATTCTTCACGGGTAAAGCCCAGATCTTGAGACTTTTTTTTGATCGCTTCCCGTGTGGCGCCCAGTCCTGACTTAAAGATTTTCCAAGCGGTGTGATGCCACTGATCATGTGCGAGAATGTGGGGTAGTTCATGTCCTGCAGGCAAGCCCCGGTAAGGAAAAGACAATCTGACATTTGGTTGTGCCTGAAAATGCTGCATACCTCAAGTGGCAATTTTAAGAGGGAAACTGCTGATAGACAATTTTTTAAAGGGTTACCCTAGTTTCAGACACCCCCATTTGCTGATGCTCTCTTCAAAGATCTGCAAAAGAAATCGCTGTTTTCTAGCTGACTTGGTCCCTCTTCCAGGACAGGCATGGCTGGGCGATCACACGTGAGGATCACAACAGGTTGGATTTTCCTCCTCAGATCGATGGCAATTGCAAATCCCCTATCCATGGAGGTTTTAATCGGGCAATTATCTGCAAATGGTATATGTTCCATTGCTTATTGCCAAATTGTATGGTTTTTTTACCCTAGAGATCCAATCTCATTGTGACAATTTGATACAGTAAGGGGTTCAGGGACATCCTCATCATTGATCTTGAAAAGCAATCTTTGGATCCCCAGGGCAGGGCAAACAAATCCACCAAACACTTTGCAAATTCCATACCTTGCTACTTTTTTTTTTCTGGGCATATGGTTTCCGAGTTACCATCTGCTGAAAATCACAATGTCTGATGGTTTAATATAATGTAGCAATCTCTAAATGGGCCAATCCAATTTCATTGATCACCATTAATTATTCACAATTATTCACCATGATTAATGGAATTGATTAACCATTATTAACCATTATTAACCATTATCATCCATTATCAACTCTTATATATATATATAACCATTATTAACCATGCTTAAGCATGGTGTTGCCCCGTGCTGATCATCCGCTGTGATCATCCCTTTCCCCTTACAACAAAACACTGCAGTTGGTCCTCAGAATTCTCCAAGGAGTTGAGGAAAAGTTCCTGAGAATCCCATGGCAGTCGTCATCAGATTTCTGCCAACAACGATTCCATGTAGGAAATGATATCTGTGTCAGAAAACACTGAGAAGGATGAATTAAAACAACACTGAAGGATGAATTCCATCAGATATAATCCTTCGTCATCAACAACAATTCCTGCTAAAAGAAGGATGATATCTGTGTCATGGGACTGACTAAAAGAATGATCATAACACCAATTCCTACTAAACAAATTTTGCTGATGGATTCACTAAACAATGATCATCCATGTCATGACTCTATCTTTTTGGTTGCTAGTTGAAGGGACCAAATCTTTGGCAGGAACGTCCGGAAAATGTATCTCGTCATGGATACATCTTGAAATCGTGTTTTTGATCCTATAGGATCCTATAAATAACCGGCGTGGGCCCGCGAAGAAAACAACTTAAAACTTAAAACCATTTTTTTTTTCATCGCATTGTTCCTGCTCGCTTTTGAGTCCCATCTATGACTCATTCTTCTCACAATCATGGACCCATTTGGAAGTCATACCATGATGGGATCAAAGGTTTTACCAGTTTAACTTCCAAATCACATTTCCAACTCATTATGGATCATTCTGCATCATTCCAGCTATGATTTGTGAGTTTACCAGTTTACCTATCTATGGTTTGGTCATGTCAGTAAGAGCCTTGAGCACAGGCGCCATTCTTTGCTCGAGAGCGTTCACTTTGTCTTCCAAAAGAGGGTCCGCTAATAGGACGTGGACTCCTGGCTCCTCTATTGGAGAAAATGACTGCACGCCATTTGACTCCATCGGGGTCTCATCTCTAAAACTGCTTGGCATGCCCATAGTGGCCACATCTACTGCACACAATCAGTTTGTCCTCCCAGGACAAATTGACAAACCCGAAGACCTCTTCATGTGAACCCAATAAGTCAAAGTAAACAGGGCATCTGACGCACAGCGTTTCTCCTATCCTTCGCAGATCGATGGGTCCTTTCCAGGTCGGAATGGATGCAGCTCGAGAAACCTGGCTATTTCCTTCAAGAAAGCGGCCTAATTTGCTAACTTCCAACGCGGATTTAGCTATCCAAAGATGTTCATCACGCCTGTTGAACATTTCGGCCCTGTCGAAAAGGGACGCCCCAAATTCGACTGAGGAAAATAGGCCGGACATGTGTGACGAAAAGAGTCTTCAAGCTCAGGAGATTTCACAATTTTGTCTTTGAATTTCTTCGATGGAAAAGGGTTCCGCCAAACATGGCTCAAAAAGCAGTCCACGAGCAGATCTTCAGTCACAACAACATTGGACGCGTGAGTTCCATGCCAGTCCGCAAATAAAACCATCTTTCTCATCTTCAAGTGATCTGGTTCTCCTTCAGCTGCCTTTTCAGAGAGGCCAGCAGCTATATTATGCCGGCATGGGTCAAAGCATGCAAACGGTTAAGATCACACCTGGATAGGTTGATCTACCCATTACATATAATATAAATGTGTATGTATATATATATATACCCCTACGTAGCTTACGTACGAGTAGGTGTATATATATATAAATATGCATATATATATATATGTATATGTATATGAGTACATATATATATATATATATATATTTGTATATGTATCAATTACATACAATTACATGCAAACACCGGACCTCCAAATACCTCCAAATTTGGCAATTTTTCGACACTTCACAAACCTGTTGTTGGGCACAAACATGTGACCCTAAGCCACATCTGGTCAAAAATGGGTGGTCAAAAACATTCTATCCACTTGGTTCCAGCACTTACTGCTTCGCGCAGGTACTCTTAAATGACCCATGATTTGTTAGTTAACTAGTTAGTAACTGCATTATCCTTGGGATATAGTGGTCTATTACCCAGTGACTAACCAGTTATATAACTAATCCCATGTCCCATCTAAGTAGGTGCCTCACTTGTGACATGTTCATAATCAAAAGCAATACCCATTCCATTTGCATTCAAAAATCACCCTGCTGAATTTATCTTCCTAAAAATGGGCCAGCCGAAGAAACAACACACACTCACCAGTCGTTGTGTAGTCTATTCAAAATTCCCATTGCTGCTGATGTGCATCCCAAATCAGTGGCTTATAACCCTAAAATTCATTACATCATATGAACCGTATAATCCTGGGTTCCTGGGTTGTCTCATATGGTTACTATTCACTGTCTACCCTCCGGTAATTTCACAGTTTGCTATGGTATAAACGGTCCATTTTGTTCGATGATGAACCTACCAAAAAGGGTCTGTTCATGCATGTCCATAGCAAACTGAAACGCATTATGCAATCACAATGAGAATAAAACGAGGATTTGATAAGGAATTCGCACCAACATATGGATCAAATGAGGACAAAACGAAGATTTGATGTGGATTTCCCAAAATAAACTCGCCCACTTAGATTACTGGGTAGATTAATGGCTTACCCTCTGGGTTCACATAGCTCTTGTAATCTCACATAGCTGTGGTACATTTAACGTAGCTATGGGATTTCACCATTTTTAATAAGTAAATATTAACTATAAATTGGATATTCTCAATATATATATATATAGCTTTGTTAGTCATTACCAAAGGGTATATCCAATATCCCACCAAGTCACTAGGTCTTCTCATACCATGAATTTCCATTAATCTGTTAAGTTCACGTTGGCATCTTAGGTATCATCACATTATCCATTAACTCAACTATAATAAACCGTTCTACACACACATTTTTATATATATATAAATACACACACACATATATATATATATATATATAGATCAATAAATACACATATATGTATAACTATAATAGATACTGTATATCCCAATGACATCTCATCATATATAGTTATATATATATATAACCGTTGAATATCTACTTAATATCTCCATGACACACCATGACATCACCCCAAAGTCACCCAGGTAGTCACAGCGAGGGACGCGAAAGTCGGCCACCTCCTGGGGCTGGAAGCCGGCGTCACGGATGGCCCATTGCCTCAGGAAAGTCATCCTCGATGGATGGGGTTTAGCCATGTTTAGCCTATAAAAAAAAGGGAGAATCATCAAAGGATAGGATAATAGGATTATAATAGGGATGATAGGATTTACAACTTGGATGATGGGATTATAATAGGGATGACGATAATATCAAAATAATAGTATGATAATGATAATGATAAAAAAAGGGAAAATAGGGATTATAATCATAGGATAGAGATAGGAATGATCATAGGGATAAAAATATCTAGCCCGTGGAATATGAAATAACCATAGGGATAATCATAGGGATATTGCATGGGATATTGGGATCATAATGATAAGGATAGTGATATTATGGGATAATTTAACACATGGAATGTGGGATCATAGTTAGCCTATGGAATGTGGGAGAATCATAGCGATAATGATAGGGATCATAATGGGCAAAACAAAAGATACGATTGAGAGGTTGTAAACATCATAATGGTTAAAAACCATGATGATAATGATAGGATCATTGAGAATCCTAGGGAAAATGATAGATCATAATGTGATAGACTCATCATCTCAATGATCCCATAAAGAACGGTCATAAACATGAAGAATCCAAATATAGGGATTTGCACTATGGAAAGCTGAGAAATTTCGGAGCATCCTACACAACCAGTGTATTTTACCCTGTGGTTATGTCAAGTTATAGCTATTGAACATGGCCATAGAAACAAAGAATTTTCCCATGAAAAATGGTGATTTTCCATAGTTATGTTAGTTTACCAGAGTGTAAGCCCAATGTTTGTTGGGATATGGGGCCCCTAAAATTATGGTGAAATATATCCATTTAGTTCACTGGAAATCCAATTCCTTGGCGTATCCAAGTCCTTGGCTGGTCCCATGATAGGTGCAAGCGGAGCTGTGTTTACCAAGGTGTCTCTCAAAATTGGGTTAGCCGCTAAAGCATGAGCTTCCACATTAATGTGATAAACCCATCCCGAATAGAGGTTTGCTATTGGGTATTCCATGGAAAAACAAACCCTATTTGGGAGTGAAATGACCCCCAGTCATGGTTGGTGAGATTCCATCAACCATAATTACATGTGACGATTATGATTACATCAACCATACTGGTTTATGATTACATCAACCATTACATCAACCATGATTACCATGATGGTTTACTGGTTTATGATTGCATGTGACGCATTCACATCAACCATGACCAACGTTTGACGATAAATTTGTGCCCCAAAATAACCATCTTGAACCCCCGGAACGCCAACGACGCTTGGTTTCATCGCCAGCTGCTCTTTTCGTAGCCTCTCCTTGTCCTTGAAACTGCGAAACAAGCCCATGAGCTTCAAGAAATCCTGCGCTGGATCGGAAAAAATGGAGGAGAGCCAAATCATTCATGCATGCAACTGTGTGTGTACTTTCATGCATGTATAAATATGCTTTAAAATATATACCGAAAACAGAATCTAATATGTATACACGAAAATTGATCCGAAACCTATACATATTCACCTAGATTTGGCTGTCCTGACGGGTGACACGGATACCTTGCTGCGGGGACAACTGAGCAGAAGCTGTTGGATGCCCCTGGTTCAACTGACAAATTGCCCGGAGACCAAGTGCCTTTGGGGTGGATTCACCTGTATATTACAAGAACATGTACATGCCAAAACATAGGTGTGCGCACATGTATGAATGTAGATATGCTACCAGCAACTTCTATCCATATCGCTATTCCATTGACATCATGCGACGGCCATAAATTTCAACGTAGCCAACTAAGCCAGGCTTTATCTAGGTTTTGTCCGGCTGATATTCATTTGTATTGGCTATATTTGTATGCTGTATATATATATATATATGTGTGTGTGTCTGAAATATTATGTGTATGTGTTTCTTTTCCCCCCAATACCTGTTTGAAACATGTGTATTCCATGCTACATTATTTGCACTATATATATATGTGTTTGTATAGGTACACTGTGAAATACATTATAATATTTTCTGCAATCTATATTATCAATACTTATTATATATTATGTCTATATCATTGATATGTAACATATAGTCAATGCACGCATATATATATATATAAATATACATATATAACTATATACATTTATATATATACAAATCACCAGGATTGTTGGTTTTAATCCCGAAGTTAGCTGGCTGAAGCAGCAAGTTTATCAGCAGTTTTGAGTAAAAATCCCAGCCATTTTTCCCCACCTGCCAGGTGAGGGTTGTTAGATTTTATGTCAGTTGCCTCCTCCTGCCTCCTCCTGACTCCTGCCTCGTCCTCCTCCTCCTCCTCCTCCTCTCCTCCTCGTCCTCCTCGTCCTCCTTGTCATCCTTGTCGTCCTTGTCGTCCTCGTCGTCCTCGTCGTCCTCGTCGTCCTCGTCGTCCTCGTCCAACTGCGACCCGCGATCCACAGTGTTCTCTGCCGGACCTCAACCACGACCATCCACGCCCAGTGTTCCCTGCCGGACCTCAACCACGACCAGCCACGCCCAGTGTTCCCTGCCGGACCTCAACCACGACCAGCCACGCCCAGTGTTCCCTGCCGGACCTCATCCACGACCATCCACGCCCAGTGTTCCCTGCCGGACCTCAACCGCGAGTATCCACGCCAAAAGATATGCCACATAGAGTGCCAGAAGATATGCCAGATAGAATGTTAGAAGATATGCCAGATAGAATGCCAGAAGGTATGCCAGATAGAATGCCAGATAGAATGCTAGAATGCCAGAAGATATGCCAGATAAAGTGCCAGAATGTTTGCCAGATAGAATGCCAGCAGATTTGCCAGATAATATGCCAGAAGATATGCTAGATAGAATGCCAGATGGAATGCCAGAAGATTTGCCAGAAGATATGCCAGATAGAATGCCAGATGGAATGCCAGAAGATATGCCAGAACATATGCCAGAAGATATGCCAGAAGATATGCCAGAACATCTGCCAGAAGATATGCCAGGTAGAATGCCAGAAGATATGCCAGATAGAATGCCAGATCGAATGCCAGAAAATATGTCAGATAGAATGCCAGAAGATTTGCCAGTAACAAAATGTATAAATGTCATGGTGGGGATCACACGAAGTAAAGTAATTTCATCCTCAGTTGTATAAATTGGATTTTCTACAGGATTTTCATGAAAACTTAATTGGATTGGATGAATCCCTAATATTTGGGCAGAGTTGAGATGAAGGTTTTTAAGAACTGAGATGAGAGTATATTTTCTCCAGCTAAACAAGGAGTCTGGTTTTGGATTTTGATTTACGTGAAGGAAATGCATCGCCGATCAGCTGGAGAAAGAGCGTCGTAGTTGGTAGGCCTACGAAGTGCTTCTCCTTTTGGAGCCTGAACAGGGTCCTGTGAAAACGAGAGAGCGGTCTCACGTGGGCCATCAAGGCCTCGAGAAGCTGTCGCCCATCTGCTCATTGAGTTTGGGTCGGTGCCGGCAGGTGAAAAAGGCTTTGCGAGCAGGCCTCCAATGCACCGAGCGGGAAATCCAGTCAAGACGCCAGGTGCCACGACTTTTTTCAAATATTCGATGCAATTCCACGAGATCCCTCCTTTTGTTGGAGAAGCGACTCTGATCTCGCGCATCTTCCTAAAGAATCGCATCAGCCGAATATAAAAAATTGGATATGATCCAAGTCAATATGGGCAAAAATGGGCAACATTTATTCATGAATATTTGAATTAAGGCCATTTGGGGATGATTTCCCTTATTGACCATGATTCCAGGTTTCGGTCGCAGTGAGGTCCTAATTGGTTGGTGAAACCAACTCTTGATGTTAAACCATGATCAATGATGCATAACCCGTCATTTTGTTACTATGGTCGTTATCAAGCATAGCACTGATTTATATAAGTAACTTGCCCAATAGCCAGGGGTTTAAAAAACTCAGGTTTTGACATCAAGTAGCTGGTATCCAGGTTTTGTTGATTTTTCTGGGCTAAATCTCAGCCTTAGGATTCAATCCCTACTTCCCCAGGTCTTTTTGCTGGGACCCACAACGTTCCCCGTTAACTTAACGCTGGCTGGAACGGCCGTGACTCCTCCAGGTTCAAGCCATTGGATTCTTCATCCACAGAACGCATGAGGCTCCTCAGGGACACGGCGAGCGAATTGAAATGTGGGATGACCATGGTAAAATCCGTGGTAAAATCCATGGATTGATATGCATTTGAAACTGCGGCTTGATGGCGACAGTCAGTTGGTTCTATCCAGATACATGATGATACATGGCTATGGCTCAAGATGTGCTGTCCACTTTGCAAACAAGCAAAATTCTGCAGAGTTTCAGCCGCACAAACAAGTCAGTCACTGTTTCATCATCACAGTGGGGAAAATCAAGCCACTTATCGAGAAGAATCGACTCCCCTCATTTTTGCTGCTTGAAAACCCCATGTTTGTTGATAGTGACCGCCCCCCAAAAAAAAACAAAGCAATTGTCCCAATAACATCATTTAAACAACCCAAAACACCAAACACTTGTTAGTATAGGATTTTGTTGCCATGTGTTGCATGCAACTCCATGTCTGGACATGGACTGCTCACCCGCTTTTTTTGAAGTGCGACGAAGGGTCAGGAGTTGCGGCCGCATGGACCGCTCATGAGCCATTTCGGGAACCACATCTTCCACCTGTGCCGATCCCGTGGCACCGTGGGCGCCCACAGGGGACGATGAACATCCGAGATGTGGCAATCTTGGAGAATCATAATCATGGAACTGGTTAATAATGGCTAATAATAGTTAATAGTGGTTAATAGTGGTTAATGATGGATAATCATATTGGCAATTGTTTACTGGTTGGTGGTATACCTACCCCTCTGAAAAATGATGGAGTTCGTCAGTTGGGGTGATTATCCCATATATTATGAAAAATAAAACATGTTCCAAACCACCAACCAGCAATTGTTTACCTACAATAGCTTGCAGCAACCCGGATTTTCATTACATAAATTCTGAATTTTGAATGGTATTGTCCTGCAAAGGATTTGGAAGTGGCTTCGAAACATGGTTCATTGCAGAGATTGTCCCACGTTTCCTTTCTAATGTGGGATCAGCATACTTTCTTTTGAAATACTCACTAATAGTTTTTGCAAAGCTCACTGTCCAACATAAAAGAGCAACCATGAGAAACTGATTACTGTATCCCACATTCTTGCTAATCAGTTTCAGATTGGGATGATTAAACAAATAATGTCAACCCTGGATTAATAAACCCCTAGGTTGTTTAATTGGGGGGGATACCATTTAAGTATCAGATTATGACTATTTGGGGAGTATCCCCTAATTAATAAACCGTGGTTTATTAATCTGGGGTTGACATTATCAATGATGTGCAAAGGGATGCCTTGACGAACTGACGAACTGTGCCATGGTCCCTGAATCCACAAGTTTTCATGCAACGAAGAGCAGCAACTCTGCGCTGATGGGATCTAATTCAACTGCGTTCGGAAAGCGAATGTAAGCAAATGAGTAAGCAAATGATCAGTATCTTTCATAGACTCTCATTCAAATGGCATCTTAGATACCCTAGTTAGTGCATACCTCCATTCACAAAACAGAAAACCCATGAACCTACTCAATCATTTTTTCAAACAAACATATTCGCCCCATGAAATTTGCAGCGCAGTGACCAACTGAACCAGCTCCTTCTTGTTGATCCGGATACGAATAGCGCCAAATGTCCAATTGCGAATCAATCTGGGTATATATATATATATGGTTGGTGGTTATTAACCATTCTTCACCACTAACCACCATTAACCATCATTAACCACCATTAACCCACTTATGTACCCTTTCTGGTAAATGGCTAAAGCCTAACGTCACGGCGGAAATCCCATGGTCTCCCTATCGGAAAGTTTCTATGTGAGGTTTCAGCAACCGACGATCACTTGGAGTCCGGTGATTTTTCCCACTTCGCCAAGATAAACACAGCATGCAGAGTCTAGATTTGTTCCTGCCCTGCACCAGAGCTTCAAAGCCATCTGACGGAATACCATCTTTGGACCCCAAGAACGACTTGTGTTCAAGGAACTTCAACTCTGGGATTAGCGCTCCCATGGCATCTTTTGCAAAGAATGTCACAGCGCAGACGCTAACTCCCCCAGTCGAAATCAAGACACAGTGCAGAAAAAAACATCCTATAGACTTTCCTTAGTATACTTACAAGGCAATTAGCAGTGTTTGTGTGATACATCTATTTTGATACATCTATTTTGATATATGTATATCACTATATATATATACTAGATTCTAGATGGGTCGTTAATAACCCAATCAAAGGAGATTAAAACTGCTGGGCCACCACCTTCTTTCAGCAGCAAATGATGCCAGGTGTCCGTCCGTTCCTGTCCAGATCATACTTTCGGAAGAAGAGCTTCAAGTAATTCACTTCCTGGGCGTACTGCTGATATGTGATCTGGTTGGCAAATATCGGGATGGCATGGGGAGATCTGAAAACCAAAAACGCTACTTGTATCTACCATCCATCGAACCTGGCAATGGAAAATACCCTATTCTATAATGGAAGTTTTCACAGGAAAACATCATGGAAGCTTTGACAGGAAAATAATCTATACATGGGGGATATTCCTTCAAACCACGTTTGATTATGGGATGGTAATCAAGAAACATGAAATTCATGAAATATCATCAAGAATCTGATATCACTCAAACTATGGAGCCTTGATCAATCATAACGACCAGTGGCAAAGGAGGGGTCAATCAACAACATGGAAACATCATTATCAATCACATGGAGTCGTAATCATTTTCAAACGGGGACATGATGAAAACGTATGGTGAGATGAAGCCAGGTTAGTAAGTCAGTAACCCTCACAACCATGACAGTTGAGGCATCGAGAAAACATCAACAACTGAATGACCTCTCTGTCACAAGTTTGTTGTTTTTAAGAAAACAAGGGGTCATTGTTTGCATGTCTCAAAGTTTGGTACCCACAAGTTTCCCATTCAAAACGTTGTCGTCGAAGAAATCACCCCATTTCTGAAGGACCTGATTTCTGGTCGTCCCCGCCTGGGATCCATACAGAGACGCCTGGGAATCGCCCATTGTCATGTATGATTCTGTATGATTACCATGGTGTCCCATTTGGGCAACGGGTCTTGGTGAGGTCATCACTGAAAATTGATTGCCCTCCAAAGTAACAGAGCTATGGAACATCAAAAAAAATTAATAGGTAAATCATCTATCATAAATAACATGTTCCATAGCTATGTTAGTTTATGCGAGGGTAGCTGATACCAATTAGAAATGTTGGTTGATACCCCATATTCCAAAGAGTTTTGCAGGACTTCTTGTAGTTCCCTTGCTAAACGTTTAACTTTTGTGTGATATACGATGAATCCATGTACTACCAAATATTTAGGAAAGAATAAGAGGGTGTCTTTTTCATCCATGCAGTGCATAAAAAATGCGCTGGTAAAAATCATCAATAAGCAGATAATTACCAGGTTAATTGTATTAAATTATGTGCTATACAGTGCATAATAATTGTCTAACTAAGCAAATAATTGCCATGATAATTGTATTAAATTATCTCCATCAGATTATAATTTGTATTTAATACACTAATTGTATAAGATCACTATATTACTATAAATTAATACACTATAAATTACCGATCACTAAGACTATCACCATGATAATTGTATACGAGCGAACGCCAAGACTATTACCTGCCGATTTGGATCTGCATCCACTTAGGGTCGGTGGTTTATAAAATGGCCCAAAAAATCTGGGGATCTCCCAGTCCAACGATTGTGATATCACTGGTCAGATTAAGGGGTATAAATATTCAAGGATCATATTAAACTATATTAAATATCTCATAAGGTTCATAAGGTTCATATTAATGTCAAGTTAGGATTAATAATCCCATTAATCATTTTTGTAATTTAAAGAAAGGTGGTCCCCCAGGATTAATAAACCGTTTGGCTGGGACATGATTAAGCAACCCCCTGTGCTGAAATCCATTTTTTTAATCCAAAATTCTTGATAAAAATCATCACCCTGGACAGGTTTCCTGCATGGTGGTTTCCTCACTCTTCCCTCATAGGAATCTGGACAAGCCTGGACCTAATTAATCAACCAGCAGTGCTGCAAAGTGAGATTTTAGCAAGCAAATCTCTTTTCCTAAGGCTGAAAACGAGCCAAAATAGCTGCAGGTAATGCCATCACTGCCATCCCATGCTGAAATGTGAGATTTTAGCAAGCAAATCTTTTCCCCTAAAGCTGAAAAATGAGCCAAAATAGCTGCAGGTAATTAATGCCAACCTAATGAAATCCAATGGGTTCTGATGATATTCATGAGATTTTAAGTACCAAATCTTATGAAATCCAATGGGATCTGATGGGATTCATGGGGTTTTATGACTTAAACCTTATGAAACGCAATGGGATCTGATGATATTCATGAAATTTTAATTATCAAATCTTATGAAATCCAATGGGATCTGATGGGATTCATGGGGTTTTAGGACTTAAACCTTGTGAAATCCAATGGGATCTGATGGGATTCATGGGGTTTTAGGACTTAAACCTTATGAAATCCAATGGGATCTGATGGGATTTATGAGATTTTAACAATGAAATCTTATCAAATCCAATGGAATCTGATGAGATTCATGAAATTTTAAGTATCAAATCTTATCAAATCCAATGGGATCTGATGAGATTCATGAGGTTTTGAGTATCAAATCTTATGAAATCAAATAGAATTCTATGATGATCTTATTGACTCAACCCATATCCAAATTTTTATGGTTCAGAGTTGCTTATTATTAAGGGGTGGTCAAGAAAACTAGCCAGAAGGTACCTACCTACCTACCTGGGGGGGGGTTGATTAATCCGATGTTGCCATTCTATATCGCATATGAAATCTATTAATATACTACGTATATTAATATTATCCATAAGGTTCATGAGTCATATTACGGGTCATATTAAATATGGCTTATATCCCATTTACCCTCTGGTTATTTAACATAGCCATGGTATAGATGGCCCATAGAAATAGATGGCCCATTAAAAATGGGTTGATTTTCCATGGCTATGTTAAATAACCAGATGGTACCCATTAAAACTGGTGATGTTCCATAGCTATGTCAAATTGCCAGAGGGTATCCTGCAGATTTGGACGTGTTTTTTTAGTGTTAAATAACCAGAGGGTAGCAATATCTAAAACAATCCACTTACAGAACAGCACTCCCAGGCTGCCCAGGCTCGGGATCTGTCCATCCACCATTTCGCTTGATGGCTTCACGCACCTGACAAGCGAGGACTGAAGCAACCAAAATGGGGCAAGAAATGGGGCGATCCTGGGTGTACATAGAAAGAACAATAGATAATATATATATATCGATATCGATAGAGACAGAGAGAAAAGAGAGATAAGAGAGATAAGAGAGATAAGATAGATAAGATAGATAAGATAGATAAGAAAGATAAATAGATAGATAGATAGATAGATAGGTAGATAGATAGATAGATAGATAATAGATAGATAGATCGGATAGATAGATAGGATAGAGAGGATAGATATATAGGATAGATAGATAGGATAGAAAGATAGATAGAATAGATAGATGGGATAGATAGACAGGATAGATAGACAGGATAGATAGATAGGATAGATAGATAGGATAGATAAATAGGATAGATAAATAGGATAGGATAGATAGATAGGATAGATAGATAGGATAGATAGATAGGATACATAGGATAGATAGGGTACATAGGATAGATAGGATAGATAGGATAGATAGGATAGATAGGATAGATAGGATAGATAGGATAGATAGGATAGATAGGATAGATAGGATAGATAGGATAGATAGGATAGATAGGATAGATAGGATAGATGGATAGATAGGATAGATAGGATAGATAGGATAGATAGGATAGATAGGATAGATAGGATAGATAGATAGATAGATAGATAGGATAGATGGATAGATAGATAAGATAGATAGATAGATAGATAGATAGATAGATAGATAGATAGATAGATAGATAGATAGATAGATATATAGATAGATAGATAGATAGATAAATAGATAGATGGATGGATAGATAGATAGATAGATGGATAGATAGATAGATAGATAGGATAGATAGGAGAGATAGGATCGATAGGATCGATAGGGTCGATAGGATCGATAGGATCGATAGGATAGATAAGATAGATAGGATCGATAGGATAGATATGATAGATAGGATAGATAGGATAGATAGGAAGAAAGAAAGAAAGATAGATAGATAGGTAGATAGATAGATAGGTAGGTAGATAGATTAGGTAGGTAGGTAGGTAGGTAGGTAGGTAGGTAGGTAGGTAGGTAGGTAGGTAGGTAGAAAAATAGATAGATAGATAGATAGATAGATAGATAGATGGACAGATAGATAGGTAGAGAGATAGATAGATAGATAGACAACGTAGATAGATAGACAGCGTAGATAGATAGACACATAGATAGATAGACAAATAGATAGATGGATAGGTAGATAGACAAATAGATAGAGATAGAGATAGAGATTGAGATAGAGATAGAGGTAGAGATAGATATAGACTCATAGATCAAGATATAGACAGATATAGATAGATACAGAAATATATAGATATATATATATATAGATAGATATAGATACATATAGATAGATATAGATAGATGTAGGAAAACATATAAATATATAGAAATCAAGAAATGTGTAAAGATAGAAATATAGAAAGATAGAAAAATAAAGAAATATAGATAAATAGATAGATAGATAGATAGATAGATAGAAAGATAGATAGATAGATAGATAAGATGAGATAAGATAGGATAGGATAAGATAAGGTAAGATAAGATAAGATAGATAAGATAGATAAGATAGATACGATAGAGAGGTAGATCAGAGAAGAGAGGATAAATATACAAAAAAAATACCATTAACAATAAATATAAAGATAACGAGAATATAAATATATAGTAAAATGTTTTAGACGAAAAGAACAAGTAAGATCGAACAAATCGGATAGATCAGACAAGTTTGGAAAAGATCCGAAAAAAGGATAAGATAGGAGACAGATAGACAGGCAGACAGACTGCCAGACTAACAGACTGACAAACAGATAGACAAACAATGACAAACAAACAACAAAACAGATAGACTAACAAAATAGATAGATAGATAGATAGATCGATCGATCGATCGATAAATAGATAGGTAGATTAGGTAGATAGATAGATAGATAGATAGACAAACAGATAGATAGGTAGATAGATAGATAGATAGACAGACAGGCAAACCATCAAACAAATAGACAGACAAACAAATAGATAGATAGAGAGATAGACAAATATTAAACTCAGATAGGCAGGCAAACAGGGATGTAGATAAATACCTTGGCGACATATTATGTGTTATGAAAACAACAATATTCTATTTGGGTTTGTCTCAATATTGTTCCTTTCATGCGGTTGAATACCACAATGGGGGATATTGAACATCAAACACATGATTCTTCTAGTGGATACTGGAAGTGGGTTTGTCTGACAATTGAGGATTTTAAACGAATAGCCAACCACAATCGGGAAAGAATAATGGAAATGCTTCATGGGGCATATAAGCAGCTTGATATGATATTTCTGGTTTGTCTGACAATGGTCCGTATACTTCCCAATCTATGGCAAATTCAATTGGAAAATGATGATTATATAAATTATATATACTGATTATACAACCACTGGTTTGAGGGCACCCTATTCAGACAAAACCCATAATTATGGAATGTGATGCAAATGCAAGCAAAGGACACAAAACACGATGCAAACTCGTTGAAGCTAAACGTAAGCAAAATCAATACATGTGTATACTGGACGTCTTCCTGCGTGACAAATTACAAGCGTAGAATTTTATTGCGAATGAGGAAAGTCACATTGAGTAGAGAAAACTAAACACATAAATCAAGACTCAGAAAACGCAATAAACTCAAACACAATGAAGTCCCTCAAATAACTCTCGGCAAAATATGCGCAAACACATGAATGAAAATTATCCACATATGTATATTATATATATATATATGTGTGTGTGTATTCAAACTTAAACATGTACAACACCATAGGGTGGTCGGCCTGATGCGCGTGCGCCGCACAGGACCTCACGAAGTCGTCGCGACGCACCAGCATGCCTCATTGGTCGATGCACTGGCGCATCAATGCAGTGGAAACCCTGGGAAACATGGGAAGACTTATTGGAAACCCAGGTGTTTTACATGATTTTAGAGGGGCAATTTAGAAAAAAACATGGATGTTGCCATGAAACAAAAAGCCTGGAAGTTCCCGGCAAAATGTCGCATTCAACCAATTCAAGGATGGCAGAAACAAGGGTTGGCCCCTGAAATCTTGAGGCAACCCCCTACAAGTAGATCCTACGAAATTGGAAAAACGAGGTTTGCTTTCTTGTTGGAAATGGTCATGTTCATTCATCACGAGTTTCTTTATTTATGTTTGGGATGTTTGGGATGTTTGTGTTTGGGAAGTTTGGGATGTTTGGGATGCTTGGGTTGGGTGAAAATAGCGGCAACCCCAAACTACTAGACCCCTGGGACCCCTGGTTGAGCGAGAAGGAGGACCCGAAGAAACAGCGACAATTTCGAATTCAAGATGGTATACTCATCCAAATCCCAACGCAACTCTCTCTCTCTCTATATATATATCATATATATATATGTACCAGAATCTTGCAGTGATGTTGAGGAAACGCTTCCATTTCAGTTGGTGGAAACTGGAAATTGCCACGTATTTGGAACAAAGATGACTGGAATCCATGTCGTCGCGCGCACGCAAATGATGCTTCACCCGTTGTTCGATCACACCTATTAAAATACTATAGATAGATAGATAGATATATATATATATATGGAGGTTTCCTAAAATGGGGGTACCTCTAAATCATCATGCCCTAGACCTTCCTTTGGTACAGAAAAATGTGTTCAATGCGCAAAAAATGCAAACGAGCAGAAAATAGAGATAACCAAAAAATCGAGCACCTTTTAACTTTTTCTCTAGGCTCATGATTTTTCATTTGTTCGCCGGTTTGCTCCTTTGGAATTGTTTTGGTGTTGAAAGCGCTGTGTGAGACATGTTGGGTTTACAGTTCAAGTTTTCTGACGAGGAATTGTTTACCAACATGCCCTTGAAAGATGCATAGGCTGACGCTGACGTGATAAGATATGTGTGTATACATACATCCTGGATCATCCCCAAACGAGAGTCCCTGACTCATGTCAAGCAATCATAAAGGGTCTTCCCAGATGAGCTGATGCAAACATGTGCAGACCCTTCATTGGTGGAAGTTTACAATTCGATGGTTCGTCGGTAAGTATAGCTGAACCATCATGACCTTGTACTGGATGGCTGCTTGTTGCTAACTTGCAACTCCCGTGCGTGAAACTGGAAAAGTGGAACGGTGGTCGCGCGAAACGGGCGCAAATTTCCGTGAAACAAACGCAAAAATCCGCAAACGAGCGCGAAATCAAAACCTGTTCAATTGGATGTCTTGCTTTAGCAACTTTTTGACAACTTTGCTTTGCTTCATATCACGTGGATGGAACCGCAAAGTCCATCATTGCATCGCATGACATTTTGGTGATTATCATGCATGAATTGCATGCATGAACCAATCATGAACTCCATGAATGGAAGCTGATGACATCCATGACACTGCAGCACTTCTCGGACACAAGCATCTATCGATCATGCATCCACATGAAAAGACATGGAAACGACCATATACTTTAAGAGGTTTTTTGGCATACATGTCTGTTATATGTGTACATGGCATACAATATGTTCCATCTATATATTGTATGACAATGCCTATACCAGACCTTCGTTGGCACACAAGAATCTCGAGCACATTTTTTGGGGGACACAGGAAACGAGCCGAAAAAATTGAACTGAGCAGAAATAAAGTGGTAAACATTTTTCTGTACCAAATGAAGGTTAATAGGATTTTCACCCATTAAACCATCCATTACGCCATTACGGTCTTCAACGCCAAGTGCAAACTCGCCCCACCGGCGGCGATAGAAAGGAAATCCCAGGAGCCATCATCGTTGAACTCCGGCAGGTCCAAACTTTGGGACTGGAGGCCAGTAGTGCCTCAGTCCCAGCAGTTACTCAAAAAAATGGCTACAATGACTGGGTTTTAAAATGTATATAGATATATAGATGGATGCAAGATAGGTAGGTAGATAGATAGGTAAGTAGGTAGATAGATAGACAAATACTTAGATAAAAAGAGAGATAGAGAGTGAGAAAGAAAGATAGATAATTAGATGGATATATAGATAGATAAATAGATAAAAAGGAAATGGACAGATAGATAGATAGATAGATAGATAGACAGATAGATAGATAGATAGATAGACAGATAGATATATATATATATAGATAGATAGATAGATAGATAGACAGATAGATAGATAGATAGATAGACAGATAGATATATATATATAGATAGATAGATAGATAGGTAGATAGATAAATAGAGATATATATACGGTGCCCTTTCCGTTAGCTAAGTCGGTTAATGACCAACATGATTTGTATGCTAGATATATCACGACAATTCCATAATAGTCCTATTTGTCTTGGCTAAAACACATATTTTTGATGGTTGAATTCTTATCCCCCATTCTTATATCACCATATCATGGGCATTTGTGATATTATGGGTAATTACCACTATTTAAGCAGCACCATATATACCGTATGAAATCTCCCAGCACTTTTCCCACCTTAAACGGTATAACGCCACGGCCACGGGACAGAAGGCTTGGATGGCGCTGGGAAACGTGATCGCCTGCAACCGAGCCAGATCTTCATCGTCGAAGGCTTGGAGGAAGAGCTGCGCGTCGCACTCCTCGGGAAAAATCATGGGATTTCATGGGGATCTCATAGAATTTCATGGGAATATATGGGGATTGACTGAGATTTGATGGGGATTTAGTGGGACTCTTAAAAAAGATCTCGAGCACGGAACTTGCCACTGAACCCATGATGCACTTGTTGAGTAATCCCTTGTTTCTTTGACGAAGGATGATGTCCCTCCAGTGAGTGTTGGACTCTGGGTCTCAAAGTGGGTGAGGGAAGGTGGAGCTGCTTGTTTTGAACATCCCATAATGGAGATTTATTGGGATATTATATGTATGAAATAGTGAGGATTTCTGCAGGAATAATGAGACTCGAATGGTGGTTTAATGGTGCTTCAATGGGATTATCATTTTTTTTTAATGGGATGTAATATGGGATTATCATGGGAGTGTAATGGATGGCTAACAGGGGGGATTGGATTAATACGATCAGCAAATAATTCATCAATGATCTTCATATTGATCATCATTGACACGACTACCCTCCGGTAAACTAAGATAACTATGGAACATCACCATTTTATAGCTGGGTAAATCAACTATTTCGACTGGGCCATGGCTTCAAGTTCGCAAACTGTTGACATAACCAGAGGGTTGTCATAGCCATGAAATCATGGGAACATCATGGCGAAGAAAGAAAGGCGTGTTGATGAATTCATGGGGCAAGAGGGGAGTAACAATGGAATAGTAGCAATAAGAATGATTATAAAACCAATGGCAATAATCAATTTAATAAGCCGATAATCATCACAATATTTTTTCCAACAGGCATGGGTTCATGAACATGACCATGCCGAACCAAGTTCCCGTGCAAGACAGCAATATTGATATATCATAATTACATATCTATACTCAGTAAACCATCTATTCCTATGGGCCAATTTCCATGGCTATGTTAGTCATAACCGGAGGGTATATCATAATTAAAATTGAATAATGGCCATATCCAATGAACATCAATGAACTAATGATGACCTGGGTGATTTGGGGTCTGCTTGTTACCCGGGGATTCCCAAGCATGAAGGGGATGAACTCAAGTAACAAGCCAGCTCATGGAACGAACGACGTGCTGCAACAAAGTCGTGACATGCTTGATGCGACACATGTCAAGTATGCAGAATGCAGGTTTGTTGGAATTTAACACTTTATTCATCTGGGAAAATGGAGCAAACTCACAGCATTGGACATATGATTCAACCCTTCAAGCTGCAAACATCCATAGAAAACCTGCACTTGGCCACCTAAAAACATTCACCACGAGAAGAGCCCCGAAATGTCAGCTGGTTTATAATCCAATAACTGTATAGCTGGATAGGTATAGATAGTCATTGGATGTCATTGGATTTATATGGTGTAATCTGGTGTATAATTCAGTTGATTTATGGGGGATATCTGGATATCCCTGCAGTTAGATAGGGTAAAAGGTTAAATAAACAAACAAAGCCTGTACTGCGGGGCCCGGAAATCTGCCCTGGTGACGCTGTCTCCTGGGGGTCACCTTCCAGCAAAAAACTGTCCACCAGCATTTTCTTTTGAATGAAATCACCAACAACAACATGGTCTTTGGATGCTTTTGGGGCTGAACATTGATCCGAATATTGGTTAATCACAATCATATTCTTCAATGGCAATTTGAACTATTTTCGGGATACGGTAGACTGGTCTTTTTATTTTTAACGAAATCATACCCTCTGGTAAACTAGCATAGCTATTGAACATGACCATAGAAATAGTTGATTTACCCATTGAAAATGGTGGATCTTTCCATAGTTATGTTAGTTTATCAGAGGGTACCCCCGTTTCTTTGGCTTAGAAAATCCATTTGACTATAAATCACCATTTTCAATAGCTTTTTGTATGTTTACCAGAGGGTAAGTCCGATCTCTGGCTACATCCACCATCACGACCATCGTCCTGCAGCATCCGCACCACCTTGCGGAACTGCATCTTATCCACGCCACCCGAATCGTTCACCTCGTGCGTGTCATGCCAATAAACTGCTCAAGATTTACGGGGAATGCCAATGCCAAAGAATATTGGAGAACCTAAGGATACTTGGCAACAAACGTGGATAACATTTCATCAAAGTAGAGTCGTGATGTGGATTTTGTTTCGATGGAAAACGCTGTTTTTTTTTCACATCACAACTGGGGGTTCTGGATGTCCATCCCTCATTCATATCGTATCATTGGTTAATCAGCCCGCCCAATCAGCATACAAAGATATCAGCAAATGAAGATATAATTACACTATATATATATATAGATTAGCTAAACTCAAAAACTCGCTGCCGTGGATATGTTGAAAACCGCACGAAGAGTTAGCGGGGGGCGAACGTAGGGGCGAACATGCGGGCGAACGGGTGGACGAACGTCGCCCGCACGAGCGAGCGGGGGGGCGAGCGGGGGGGCGAGCGGACGGGCGAACGATTCGACTAGTCTTGTTTTGCCTGGTGATAATTAGTACAGTCAACCTGTGCCGAAATTATTTTACACCTACTTATACAACCCAAGAATACTGGTACAAAGTTGTTGGTATTCGAAACCCGTGCAATTTTGAGGGCGGGCCCACCCCCTTGAGGGCGCATTAAGGGGTCGCACGAAGGGGTCGCACATACGCATGTACGCACGTACGTACGCATGCACGCACGCACGTTCATGTGCATGTACGCACGCACGTTCACATGCATGTTCAGAAATAAGGTTACCTTTAAGGTTACCTTTTATATAAAAGGTAACCTTATTTCTGTACGACCCTAAGCCTCCTAAAGCATATTTAGTATTAGGAGGTCACTTTTCAAAGGTAACCTTATTTCTGAACATGGGTCTGAACATGGGCTTGAACATGGGTCTGAACATGGTACCTACGTACGTGCATACGTGCGAACGTACGTGCGTACGTCTGTGCGTACGTATGTGCGTACGTGTGTGCATGTGTGCGTTCGCCCCCCCGTTCGCCCCCCGGTTCGTCCCCCCGTTCGCCCCCCCGTTCCCCCCCCGTTCGCCCGCCGTACCCTCGCTCAGATGGCCGTACGCCCCCCCACGTTCAATACGTCTAAATAACTTCAAAAACAGGCCGCAGCGACCTTTTGGGTTTAGCTAATATATAGATGTATCAGCAAATGACCATACAAAGATATCAGCATATAATTTACATGTATACCCGGTTGGCTTATGGTACGCTTGAAGTACAAAAAACATCAAAAAATCACCATCCAAAATTGATGGATCATAGCCCCGTTTTGGCCGCTTCTATTTTCAATACCGTAATGAGTGGTGGATACTTTAACCCGGGGGAAATCACCACACGCATACACACAAATATATAGCACATACACGGTGGACATGCGTGGAATCCCCCCACATTGGTTGGTCAGAACGCCCACCCAAAGGCTAAAAACCTCATGAGGACTCATGAAACTGGCCCCCTGCTGGACCACTTGGGATGTCGCCAGGGTGAGTTTCAAGTTCGCAAGCTTTGCAAGGTAAACAAACCATGGGGTGATCCCACTAGAGAAATGAACAGCAAAAACCACATATTAATGATATATAGATAGATAGATTGATTGAATGACTGAATGAACAAATGAACATGTGTACATCCAAAATTCTTTCTGATTCCCAAAATTTAATACACGTGCAGTCCTCAGCCTTCTTTGTTTGGAGTGTGCCAAAATCCCCAGTGAACAAGTGAGATGCTCCAAAATTGCCTGGAGAAAAATGTAAGTCATTCCATCATTCAAAAGACTCATTCTGATTCATCCTGTGGAGTGGTAGAGGAATCAAGCCCGAACAGTAAACTACCTCTTTGCTGGCGGCAATCATATTCACACTTTGTAGCTGGCATTTTTGTTTTTTGGGGAATCAATGATCTTTGTCACATATCCTGGAATGCTTGTTAAATCGTTACCTCACCCAGCTGTGCTGACACGTACATAGTTCCTTGACCACTGTACATATATCTATGTATATGTATATATGTTTGTATCACATCATCACGTGTATGATGTGTATATATATATATATTATATATATATATACATATATATTCAAAAAAACAGTAAATAAGTGTGTAAATATATATATATATACATATATAAGTATAGGCTATTCCACGTATATTATTGCCATTTGTTTTGGTCGGTCTATCTCTCTCCCTGCTGGGATGCGGCAACTGGGCAAGGTTTTTCTACAGCAGCAACTGGTTGTCTGTTGATCCTGTGGTGAAAAAGTTGTTGTGTGATATACAATGCTTACCCATTTACTCCCAAAAAGGCAAACAATAGCAAAACATCCTTAGAAATCTGAGCTGATGTGGCTACAATCCATCCAGGTAGGGTATATACACTGCATATACACTTAGCCTTCGCAATAACCCATCCCATCTAAGCGATGATTCTCATCAGGGGTCAACGCCCCAGTTGCCTGCCAAGCAACGTCTACCTGTCGCAAAACGCTTTGCATTGCCTCGAAACTCACCTGACCCAGCGCGGGCAGTGCGTAAGTGCACTTGGTCGGAAGGGATGTTTGAGGCTATTGCAGCTAGACATTGGCATTAATCTATTGCCCTTCTCAATTGCTTCGGTGCTTCCATCTATCAGTTTAGTTGGACCACGGTTTTTATTTGCCCTTACATTTTACACATTTACACTTTTCGCACATTTTTGCTGCTGCGTGGGGCGAGGTGGGGTGGTTCGGGGTGGGGTAGGAGGTGTAATATCATTCACTCGAACTACAGTAGCACACGCATGTTTTGCTAAGATGGAGATTTGCTGCCTTGCACTTGCACGCGCACGTGTTGCTGCATGGTGGATTTGCGTGTTCGAATGTGGCAGGAACGCAGTGCAGTGACAGAAGTTGGCTGAGACTGAAGATTTTCTCCGGCACCACATTTTGCTTGAAAGAAAAGAAGGTAAATCGGTAAATCCTGCCGCACTGCTCAGCCCCAATGTATATCCATATGTGCGGGTGGTGCCTTAAATGAAAGCCTAACGCCCCTGGAATTCTTCTTGGACTTGGGGAAGCTGCTGTGGAAGAACCGATGGAAAACACATGTGGATGTTCATTTTCGAAGTAGTTTTTGGGGGTCCAGAAATCATGTTTTTTGAGTATAAAACGGGGCCTATTACGAGCTGAGAGGTACTTTTGCTCTTGGAACAGCGGTGACAAATGACTGATTTCTTGCAGGAACTTAGATCACAATGTAATTGATGTTTTGCATAACATTTGAAACGCCCCAAATGTATGTTAAAATAACCCAGAGGCAAATCATTTTGTCTGTGTACAGTGTTGTTACGTGTAGACATATCCCGTTTTGACAAACAGATATATTTTGGTCTGCTATGCTACGCATGTCCATATCTGATGCGATCAGCCCTCCAATCCTCTGGTCTTCTGGATGCCAGCCGATCCAACTAGGTCTGGTGGCGCCGTGTATTTCTACTGTACTATTTGATGTGTTCCTTCATGCAGTTAAATGAACAAACACAAACTCCGTCAAATTCAGAGGGTGCGGAGCAAAGATGAGCAAAGTGCAAACATGTATGTGTACTCAAACTTTGGTATATCTCAATGTGCGCATGCTGTCTCTCTGTGAGAAACGCGAATGCAGATGCAATAAATTCACATGGAAAACATGTCCAGTCAGGTTAGACTTTCACACCGATATATTCAAACTAATTTAATTTAACAACTTGTTTGATGCTGAGCATCCCAAGACTACCCGATATTGACAGTTTTACTTGCCAATGTCGCCATATTTTGGTTGACCACCCACTGTTTCCCAAATTATAGTTGGTCATCTCCCCATTGTTGATATTTGTTTAATCAATCAGTCGAATCGCAAAGCTTGTTGGTTTCGACCCCAAGGTTTGCGTTTGAACTCATTCTTCATGCCGACATCAAATTTGTTCATATCCTCTTCGTGTCAAGTCGATTTGTTGGTGCTTCAAGTCTGAGTTTGAAGAGTTAAATCATGTTTAATCCCTATTTAATATTATTTAATCATGTTAAATCCACATGTTCATCAAATTATTTTCCAACCTTTTCCCAATGAAATGGCAATTTTCATTGTTAAATCCAAATTAGTCAGATATCTTTTGACGGAGATATTTTTGATGGTGAACTCCCCATTTTGATTGTCTTACCCTCTGGTTATTTAACATAGCCATGGAAAATCACCAATTTTAATAAGTAAGTAAACCATCTATAAATGGGCCATTTTCTATGGCTATGTTAGTCATAACCAGAGGGTAACTCCACATTTTCCCGGTCAAATCCACCCATCAAAACCGGCAGCGTCCGACGATCTCCGGTCGCCTGATAACCCAGCGAACGGATGGCCGTAGGCACTTCGAGAGCAGTCAGCTCGCCTGTGCCCTCCAGGTCTTCCTGCAGGACTTGGGGGCAGTGGATTTCGAAAATAGGGATTTAAGCAACAAATACTACAAAACTTGGGATTTAACCATTTCTGGTTGGTGGTTTCAACCCCTTTCAAAAATATGAGTTCGTCAGTTGGGATGATGAAATTCCCAATATATGGAAACATAAAATTCCATGGTTCCAAACCACCAACCAGATTTTTTGGAGTTGCCGGTGGTGATTCATTTCTTTAAATCGATCCCACATGGGGAATGAAAGTGATCATGGGATTTGACGAACTTTTCTGAAGGGTCAATGCCACCATGTGAAGGGCTGGAAATTTCCTGGACTCAATGCATCAAATCGTGGTTTTAAACGGATCTTGAGGTTTAGCTAAACGGCTCTAAGGTTTATCCTTTATTATATAATAAATAGAATAAAACAATAAATCAAATAAACAAATCAATGCACACACACACATATATATATACATCATTAATAGCTATAACATGCTAAAACCCTGAAGACAAAGACGTGAAGTATGAACGCCGTTCAGGCGATTCAGGCTTGTTCTAATCCTGTGTGTCTGAAACTGCGGTATGCCGGGTTTCCTGGCTATTTCAATGAGACACTTACATGATGAACAAATTCAATGGCTAATTATTAATGCTATTTCAATGGTAATTCATGGCTTGTGATTAATCAGTGGATTTAGGGGTTCCCCCGACAGAATCAACAGATCAGGTGGCCCAGCTGCAAACAATTTTGGCCATGACCAATGGCCTAAAAACTTCCAAGTTAAAGAAAGTGAGTGATTACCCTACGAAGACTTGGAGTTGAATCAGTTCTGAGCAGGCAAAGCCCTGCACATATATATATATACGTATATGTGTATGTATATATATATATATAGGCATACATGATATATAATTGCTATAGTTGTCATTATTGCTATGTTAGTAAATCATTGTTGTTGGTAGGGGCCCATCATGGAAATTCACTTCCTGAAACCATAGTCAATCCCAGGAACTTCTCGAAACGCGGCATCAATAGACTCCAGCTCGCTGTTACCTTACGGACATGATGCCACCCTCAGGATCCCTCTGGTATCCTCTAATGATATAGGCTACATATATATATACATATATACATATATACATTTATATATATATACATATATATATGTATATAGGTAAATATGTATGTGTATATATGTGTATATGCATGTTTATTTAAATATATATATATATACGCATGTATTTTTAAATGCATATAAATATATATACTTATACATGTCACAGCCAATGAAAGTCATGTTTGAATATGTTTGATAAGTTCACTGGAGGTGTCCCCTCTTCCGTTTCCAGGGTTGCTTTCAAAGTCAGAATTTAATTCACCTTCAAGTTGTCGTGGATGTGCATCCCTTGTTTGCGGGTTCATTAGGAGTCATACCGGCAGGTACTCATCAGGATGCGCATATTGTCATATTGTATTTGAGAAACTATTGTGGGCCAACAAGAATAGCCAACTACTGTACTAGTGTTAAGACAGTTCTCTTCCACAGCCTCATTCCAAAGATAAACCGCGAATGGCACAACTTGGAGCAAATCCAGATATGGCTCAGAACTGCCGCCTCTTATTCAGGTGACCCAAGTGACAATAAGGCCCACCAAAAAACATTTAATCTGGATAATTTAGGGATTCTTGTGCTTCAATGACTACAGTATCAATCACCAACAACTCATACTGATACAACTCATATATATATATATATGCACATTCATTTTGGCTGTTGTTTACACAACCACCCCCTGTTGAGGTACTTGCTTTTTGCCTTGGCACTTGGCCACTCCATATCTATCTGTCCACCTGGGTCCTCGCTGGGCCCTCGAGATGAATGGATCCAAGCCACGTGGGCTCGGCTTGATATTAGGCTTGATATTAGGTTGCTTCTTCTTGGGGAAAATCAACTGGGGGGTTCTATAATGGTTGGTTTTTAATGGAAAATCCTATTAAAATGGATGATTTAAGGGAATCTATATCTATCTATCTAGTGATTAATATAAATATATACAATATAGTGAAAAATAGAATGCAATGGTGATTTATATACATATAGGAGGTTACCATAAATGGGGGATCCCCAAAATGGTTGGTTTATCATGGAAAATCTTATTAAAATGGATGATTTAAGGGTATCCCCATTTCAGGAAACCTCCAAATGGCCTTATGGCCTTATGGCCGTGAGGTTCTGATGTCAACCAAACTGAACCCACTGGCAGCTTTGGACGACTACGTTGGAAATGGCACCTTCCCATATCCATCATTGCTAAAATTCAATCCCTGGGTAGCAATCGATTGGCATGCGACATAAACAAAGAAAAAAACTAAGTGGTGGTTTCAACCCATCCAAAGATTAATCAAAATTCTGGGTCGTGGTGGATCATTGTCCAGTTTGTATAGAAACTCATGTATATATGTATATATAACTTTAAATATAATTATACATCATATATATATAATGAAACCAGCAACCAGCTGTAAGTTGGTAAATTGTCCCATTGCCGCTCCAAATCGTGGTTAAATCCCAATTTGATGAAAAAATCCCGCGTTCGATTCGAATATGATACCCACGTTACCACTATTGATGGTTGAAATCCATGATGGCTGAAATCAGTTTTGGTTTTTAGAATAGCCCACCACAAAAATGATGGTTAGTAGTTTATCTTACTTTTAATAGGATTTCGACCAAGAAATTGTTCGCAGTGTTGCGCAATTTACACTGCCATTCGGAAATTATTATCCCGAACTAATCATTCCATGAAATACCGGTTGGTTTATAGAGGTGTCCCGTTCTTGGATTATAATCCCCAATATATGAAGGGTAGTATAATCTCCGAACTAATCATCAACCAACCATCATGTACCAGTTATATTCACTAGTATCATCTAATATCCCCATATTTTCATGGTTTCAAATCCCATTTAAACATATTTAACTATTATAATCATCGTTATATTCACTAATATCCCCATATTTTCACGATTAAAAATGGTAAAAAACCAATTTAAACCTACGAACTAATCATCAACCACCCAAAGTTGAGCCAAGAGCTACGCATGCCTTCACGTTGTCGATACATGAGCAAGAGGCGCCATAAATTGCTGAGATCCAGCTGATCTTCCTGCGCTGGTCCAATGGTTACCTACCAATTATATAAACTTACTGTAAGTCAATACTAATCGCAACATTATGTTAAACAACTGGTAGTCAATTTCTTCATGTTTAAAACATTTTGATTATCTAATCCATTTTCATTTCTTCTCCGGTCGTTCTGTGCCGGAAATCATGCTGCAACCAGTTCAAAAAAAGTTCTTGTCCATGTTTCTCCCCTTCGGGGGCGTATGGTACAACATCAATCGGTTTATCCAAGTTGAGCACTAACAATACCTTGTGGCTGTGACATCAATGCTGTGATATCAATATACACGCTCCAGTAAACTAACAGTTTGCTATGAAAAAACATCATTCTGCATAGGCAATTCATCGAACTAAATGGGACATGTTCTAAAGCTATGTTAGTTTGCCTGGAAGGTGTGTATATACATATGTATATATATATATATTGGTTGGTGGTTTCAACCCCTCTGAAAAATATTAGTCAGTTGGGATTATTATTCCCAATATATGGAAAAATAAAAAATGTTCCAAACCACCAACCAGTATATGTATGCATGGTTTAATGTAAACATATCGAGCTTGATTTGAACATGCATAATATGCATAGTTGTCAGCCTGCAGTCGCACTTAGTCTCACAACATGGCGTTTTCCGCCCGCAGACGAAGCAGTGATCCGGATAGATCATTGATAGGTCCATATACCCATTGTTCCACCATGAAAAAGTGGGCTGCAAATCCCACTGTTTCATGGTTAAATTTGTTAAATCACCGCTTTTGTTGATTAAATTGTTAAATCACATTTTTTTTAATGCTCAAATCATCATGGTTGGTTGCTTTCCCCATCTTTTTCTGCCTTCAATACCTATGATCTCTGCTAATCAGTTTCATCTCCAATCTTTTTGATAGATTCAAGCCCATTGGAGGTTCTCCCATTTTCAGTTTTATCCTCATTTTTTCACAGATATGTTAGCTTACTGGAGGCTGTATATATATGTATATATATATATACCTATATGTAGATATAAATATATAAGATAGTAAACCAACATATCTTACAATAGTTCTAAAATATGTACATGTTACACATACATATATATATATGCATACATAATTTTCCCTCCAGGCATTTCCCCCGCAGCATCTCCTGGATCTGCGCCTCCTGCGCGGCCTCGGCGATGGCCTGCTCGTCCCACAGGACGTAGCCCAGGTCGCGGAAGAGATGTGTCACCTGCTCCTGGCACGGAAAAACGGTGGGGATGTACCCCTGGGGATGGAGATATGAACAATTTGTATCCATGATTATTGGTGATTAATGATTAAACCATCATTAATGGTGATTAAACACTGGTTAATACTGGTTAATACTGGTTAATAGTGTTGTATAATCCCAATATTCACAATAGGATATCCCATGATTATCTCAATTCATGATAGATATTCACCATTGAATGTGGGTAAAACGATGTCATAGACGACCTATTTGGGAATGGTAACCATACCACCTATAAAAATGGTGACTGGGGGATGGTTTACGGCATTTTTACCCACATTATTTTCTGAACAAAACATATAAAATGGATGGATGATATGGGAAGATCTTATGGTTAGAATTATGTTTTGCGTTTTTAAATTGTTAGATTATCCAAATATCCCCATTGCATCTCCATATCCCCACTATATCGTTAGATTATGAGATGCAGTGGGGATATGCAGTGGCACATCCAAAGAAACGACTTAAAACTCTGTTCAGTCACTGTTCAGGATTTCACTGATTTCACCCAGACATTGGGGATGGACGCCATGGACAAAATAGGGATGAAACATGAAAGCACGGAAAATGGGGACTACCCTCTGGTAAACTAATATCACTATGGAAAATCACCATTTTTAATGGGAAAATCAACTATAAATGGCCATTTTCAATAGCTATGTTAAATTACCAGAGAATAAAGAATAAAGCAACAAACATGGTGACTTAACCATCAAAAATAGAGATTTGAATGAATTTAAGCAACACACCAAGGGGTACACTGGAGATACAGCTGAGGTTTTCAAAGACTCGAGGTTGTCAACTGGCGGTTTAACCAAGAACAATACGGAGATTGAATCCAGAAACAAACGAATTTATAATGAACAAACACATTGGAGATTTATATGATATAAGTTCTACGTGGATTGTACTACTAATAATATATATATATATATTTATAATATTGAGATATTTATATACTTTTTAAATATGCGGATTTAATGCCACTATAATACAATTAATGCTGACTATAATAACCAGGTGGTGTCCCGAGACAGCAATGTTTGTTTGGTCTAGTTTCACCTCTAGCTGGTTCGATCCATGTACCTTAAACACTAGTTGACTTACTAAGTAAACTAGGTAACTATGGGGAACCACCTTGCTCGGTAATACCTAGTACGTACTTAGTACTTGGGATACCTCCAATGAATTAACACAAACCATTTCATGTTTTTTAATGAGGATGGGGAGAAAAAAACACAATGCCATATGTTCCATACGGACAAATCATGCCACAACTTGGCGATTTCAGAATGGATCATTTTCCGAAGAAATCATGGTTGTGTTTCATCTATTTGAAGTTATTGGATGGTAACTTCTGCTGCAGAGGGTTTTTCCAGGTATGATCCATTTATGGTTATTAGATATCTTTAGGGTAATCAAGTTATTGGAAAAACTCAAGTATGAAAGGGATTGTCTCCAAGTTCCATTTCCCAAAATTACCCTCTGGAAATTTGACAACCTGGAAAATTGGAAATTATCAGTGATTTACCCATCATGATTTTTTTCAATAGTCATGGTCAACTACCAAAGGCTAATTTCTGTGGGACTCTCGCAAACCCCTTGGGCCTCTCGCTTTGCAGATCTACATCCCAATTAGGACGTGGCTACCATCCCACATAGGGTTTATAAACCACATATGCAGAAATGGGTGAAACAACCATGATCATGAACCACACATCAACCTGGTCCGGCACATAATTTCCAAGTTTCAACTCAATTTCCCAACCACTCTTCACTTCAGCAAAAACAAATCTTAGCCCATGTCATGGTGCTTCAACATGGGTAAACCCGGTTTTACTGTCTGGATTCTGTTTTTTTGCCCAATGTGTCGCATTAAAGAGATAAGGGATAGCCCAAAACCCCGAAAAAACATAAATCTACTCATCTCAAAAAAACACACTAGCATTTTGCTAAAAAAACATGGTTCCATTTTAAGGTCAAATATGTTAAACTATGTGATTGTGATATTTGTACGGCAGGGTGCAGGTTAGGTCAGAAATCCACTCAGAAAATATTGATCTCATCGTTTTATGCGCATTTTGGACGGTTTTCGTCTAGAGACATGAAATGCAACAAGAAATAGCAATCATATATCCAACAAACACATTCAAATTCCATTCAAAACACATTCAGCATACATTCAAAACACATTCAAAACAAATGAAATAAACGTTGGGGCACACACATACATATATATATATACTGTATATATAGTCACTCTTTCTCATGTAGCCACTAATATACTAGGCGATTATAGTAAGCATGGACTGGAATAAGTTCCTTTCTGGTAATTTGCGTTCATAATTTAAATCAAGAAATACACCAGGTATAGGCTGAATCCAGCCTCATTTCTTATTTCCAATAATTAAATCAAATACTTTTTGGCGGTTTCAACCCCTCTGAAACATATGAAAGTCAATTGGGGTTACTATTCCCAACTGAATAGACAATCGTAAAATTCCATGGTTCCCAACCACCAACCAGAATAAATCAGCCCAGCACAAGCCCTTCTTCCAGGTTTTATGCCCATATTTCCATAGGAAACCCCCATGGATTTCTTGGCCAAAACCCAGCCACTTTTCGTAACCGCGCACCTTGGGCAATTGCTCCTGATCTCCCAACGCTTGCCGCACCAGCTCCAACTCGTGCTCTCGAATCTTCCTAGCGGTGTCGTATAAGATTTTGTTGGGTCACTGGCTTCATCTAGGGATTGATGATGATATTCGTGATAAATAACCACTACTTGATATACTTGATATACTACTCATATAGGAGATACTTGGGGGATGATACATAACCCAAAGTGGTGATGATCACAATCCATCCTGGACCAATCAAACCTTTTAAATAGATGTGGTGTTGGGATGTAGATGATGAGTATTTGATAGATAACCGCTACTTGAAATACTTGATATACTACTCATATAGGAGATGTTTGGGGAATGATACATAACCCATATCAAGTGGTGATGATCACAATCCGTTCGGACCAACCAAACCTTTTAAATAGATGTGGTATTGGGATGTAGATGATGAGTACTTGATAGATAACCACTACTAGAACATGGCCTGCGCACGACCCCGGTGCAATGCAACGCCAAGGGAAGACTTTCCTCACACTTCACACTGCACTCTTCACACTTCACACTCCACACTTCATCTCATCTCAGATCTCAGATCATGTGATTTCTTCTCATCTCACCTCATCTCAGCTCTTCTCATCTCATCCCACCGCCTCTCACATGTCATCTAAGAAAGTTCTTCTCAACTGTTTTCATCCCATCCGCGCACTGATCAACCTTTCTCATCTCCTCGAATTTGTTCTCAGCTCACCTCAGCTGTTCTGCACGCCACAAAGCTCTTCCTGTCAGCACACAGAAGCTTGAGACACAGATGCATTTACACTTTACACAGGAAAAGCCTCTAGAAAGTATCTTTGTACTACAAAGCTTAGCTCGTCTCCCCAGTTCTTCTGTATCCCAAAAAAGTTTTGTTAACACACAAAAGCTCTCGTGCAAATTGCACGCCTAGACCATATTATATTTACAGTATTGTGGTAACTCACGCGAAATGTTCATGCATTGCAGCAAAGCTTAACTACAGTATATCTTATGTTAATTGTAATCTGTCAGTCAGACACACACACACAGTCCAGCGTCAACAGCTGCAACCATTACAATGCGATCTGCAGAGGCTGAGTTGCAAAACACAATAGAACTACGTGCAACGCCGTCGGAAAGATTATTTTGAAGCACAGGAGGGGGGCTTAAAAGGAAAAATGCTAGCGCCAAAATTGAGAGAATCCGCTGAAAAATCACTATCGCAGCCTTGATGCAGCCATTCCAATACTATTTACGAGATCCAGCTGCAAAAGACAATAGTATTACGCATGCAGCTGCGGCGCCAAGCAACCTTGACGCAGCCATTGCAATGCGTTTTGCAGCATCACGTCGCAAACCTGCACGTATCTACGCACGTGGCAACACCAGATGACAACAATCATGTAGCTATTCCAATGCGATCTGCAACCACGGATTCAAGAAACGCAAAGAACTACGCACACAGGAACAACCACTCGTTGCAGAACACAGAGTCTCATGCAGAGGAGGAAGACATTCGCGACAGAAACGACCACAGCCGCACCCGCCGCACACACGAGGTACCTTTCATCGCCGGCTGCAGCCACTTTACACAGAAAAATACAAGGTTTCGTGCTCCGGCTTCCTCCCTAACACAAGCCCGATGCAACATTCATTCAGCCATTACCATGCATTTTGCAGCATCATGTAGCAAACCTGCATCTCTCTACGCACATGGCAACACCAGATGACAATCATGCAGCCATTCCAATGCGATCTGCAACCACAGATTCAAGAAACGCAAAGAACTACGCACACAGGAACAACCATTCGTTGCAGAACACAGAGGAGGAACCCATTACGCTCGGAACGACCCCAGCCGCACCCGCCGCACACAGGAAGTATCTTTCGTCGCTGGCTGCACAACCACTTTACACGAAAAAATACAAGGTTTCGTGCTCCGGCTTCCTCCCCAACACAAGCCCCATGCAACATTCAGTCAGCCATTACCTCATTACCATGCATTTTGCAGCATCATGTAGCAAACCTGCATCTCTCTACGCGCATGGCAACACCAGATGACAATCATGCAGCCATTCCAATGCGATCTGCAACCGCAGATTCAAGAAATGCAAGGAACTACGCACACAGGAACAACCACTCGTTGCAGAACACAGAGGAGGAACCCATTACGCTCGGAACGGCCCCAGCCGCACCCGCCGCACACAGGAGGTACCTTTCATCGCCGGCTGCAACCACTTTACACGGAAAAACGTACGGTTTCGTGCTCCGGCTTCCTCCCCTCATCACCTCTTCGTCACCGCTTCCCTACTACTTCCCTTCGTTACAAGCCATGTCATAGCCCGTTCTTCTTTTGTGATGTATTATGATGTGATGTAAAGTCTCAAACCACCCTTCATTGAGTGTATTGTTATGTGATGTATTGTTATGTAATGTATAGTCTCACACCACCCTTCATTGAGTGTGTCGTTATGTGATGTGATGTAAAGTCTCACACCACCCTTCATTGCGTGTATTGTTTTGTGATGTATTGTTAGGTGATGTAAAGTCGCACAACACCCTTCATTGAGTGTATTGTTATGTGATGTAGAGTCTCAGAATTCTATTGTCCGTAACACGGAAGTATTGCTTCCCAACTTCCTTTGATAAATCGTCCACTCTGGTAGGCAGGGAAAAACTTTCTTATTCCTTCTTGGAAGGAGAAAACCCCTGCCGCAAACTACAGACAAAGAGCAGAGAACAAGACAACAGCGTGGGATCTCTGCATGCCAAGGGTGGCCAGCAGAAAGCGGCCACCCCAAAAACCAGCGTAGCTGGATAATCCGCTCGGTCACCAAGGACGCAAGCGCCACGGCAGAGAGCAAGGAGCAAGAGGACACATTCACGAACCTCCCTTTCAACTTGCTCCGATGTCTGGGACGATTTCCCAGCTATCCATGGTGAGATTTGCCATGAGAACCCGTGGTTTCAACATGTTTCAAACCTAAGATGTCCCATTAAAAAAATACTTTACTTCGAGTTATCCCCACCATGACATCTATACGTTTTGTTACTGGCAAATCTTCTGGCATTCTATCTGGCATATCTTCTGGCATTTTACCTGGCATATCTTCTGGCATTCTATCTGGCATATCTTCTGGCATTCTACCTGGCATATCTTCTGCAATATGTTCTGGCATACCTTCTAGCATTCTATCTGGCATATCTTCTGGCATATTATCTGGCATTCAATCTGGCATTCTACCTGGCATATCTTCTGCAATATGTTCTGGCATACCTTCTAGCATTCTATCTGGCATATCTTCTGGCATATTATCTGGCATTCAATCTGGCATATCTTCTGGCATTCTACCTGGCATATCTTCTGCAATATGTTCTGGCATACCTTCTAGCATTCTATCTGGCATATCTTCTGGCAAATTATCTGGCATATCTTCTGGCATTCTATCTGGCAAATCTTCTGGCGTTCTGTCTGGCAAACATCTTGGCACTTTATCTGGCATACCTTCTGGCACTCTATCTGACATTCTATCTGGCATACCTTCTGACATTCTATCTGGCATATCTTCTGGCAAACATGCTGGCACTTTATCTGGCATATCTTCTGGCATTCTTTCTGACATTCTATCTGGCCGTTGAGGGCCAGCGGTGCTCACTGAGCTCGGAGGGTCCCAGGTTGAGGTCCAGCGGTGCCCAGTGCGCTCAGACCCTTGCAGTTGAGGTCCAGCAGTGCCCACTGCGTGCGGAAGTTGGCCAAGAGCTTGGCGAAGAGTTGGCAAGGCGGAAGTGAACATGGAAGTGGAGGCAGAGGTGGTGGAGGAGGAGGACGAGGAGGGAGAGGAGGAGAAGGAGAAGAACAACTCTGATAAAATCTAACAACCCTCACCTGGCAGGTGGGGAAAAAAAACACTTGATACCCCCAAGGTTTGTTGATGTAACATCATGTAGTCCTATTATAATCCCATTCAATCCCAGATTAATGGTACTTCACCCGTATATCCCATGGTTGAATCCCACAAACTCGGGTCCTTAAGCACCGCAGATACTCGCGCTGGCTGATGGTACCACTGCCATCCGCATCCGTTTCATTCAGGATCTCTTGCAGAACGGCTTCGGGCAAACTGCAGGTGAGCCATTTGAGGATGGTGCGGATGTCCTCCTGAGCTGATCGTGGACAAAATGGGGGATGTTTTTGCAGCGGTTCAAATGGGGATTCAAGCAACATAGAGATTCAACCAAGACAAGTGATGTTTCAGGGTGTGACATATGTTTGATCATTTGTTGCAACAACAATGCAAGGATTTTATCAACAACATTGGTGATACCCTCTGGTAAACGTTTACATAACTATGGAAAATCACAATTTTTAATGGGAAAACATGGGAAAACTCATTATTTCTATGGCCATTTTTCCATAGCTATTTTGACATAACCAGAGGGTATTTCGTGGGAATATCGAAGGCATAAAACAACATGCCTTGACTTCTCGATGGGCCATGCTCGGACCGGTGAGGAGCTGGGCTGCTTCATCCGTGGAATGTCACTGGCCATGCAACAGGAACCGAGAACGATTGGAGGTATCTAAGGCCTACGTAAGGCAATATCCCCACAAAATATGGCCAAAAATATGGTACTAACGTACCTCCATTTTAGGATCGTGAAATTCCCATTTTGGGCCTATATCCAGTGATGTTTTACCCAACTACGATCACTAGTTAACTAATTCCATGGACAATCTGACAATCTGAGATAATTTCCCCAGCTATCTCCAAAGTATCGGCTGAAATCAATCTATCATTCCCTGGCCAAAGAAATATCCTCCACTAATCAACCATGGCAACAGCAATGGAAACTTACCCGGCCTGGTAAACTTACAATTTGGTATTGAAAATGGCCCAGTCGAAATAGTGGATGTACCCATTGAAAATGGTGGATCTTTCCAGTTCGTTATGTAACAGTTTACCAAAGGGTACCTATACTTGGAGGTTTATAGCTGGGAACAACATCCTTTATAAGTAGTGGATTGTCCAGCTCACGTTTGACAGAGGCTAGGTGGCTGAATTTCTCTCCATGGATTGGCTTAAGGGACAATCGAAACCAGAAACGATTGCTTTTTACCATCGAATATCGATTGTTTTCCTGTATTTTTCCCATCATCCAATTCTTTCTGGTCTTTGATCCAAGAAATTTACGGGATTCATCAAACAATTGATCTTTGAAACCATTGGATCACAACTTAAATTCTCTGGTTTTTACGAGTTTTGACCATCAAATCATCCGAGATTTTCCTCTAAATTGTCCAATTTTTCTCATCTTTACCATCAAATCTCGATGATTTTCCTGTAAAACATCCAATTTTTCCCATCATTGTATCACAACAAATTCTCTGGTTTCTACATGTTTTGACCATCAAATCATCCGAGATTTTCCAATTTTTATCAATTGTTCCCAATCATTTTACCATTCGATCCAGGACTCATCCGAGATCTCGCCGCTCTTCTTGGGATCCAAATGGTTGAAGAGTTCCACGTAGCTGTCGTACTCGCTGCTGGTGAAGCCCTCGCGCACCACCAGCAGGTCCTCGGGGTTCCCCCATGGCGGTGGCAGAGGTGATTGGAGATAAATCATTGATTTGTTTTTACTTAAAGGGAGTATAGCATAACTTATATCATTGATAATCAGCATATTGCTTATTCCATAATATTCCATAAATAAAATGTTAAACAATATGTTTATACTTAAACAAAGTGCTTTGGGTTCAAATAACCAACGGGATATAGTATTAATACGATATTATATATGTATGAATGTATGATTGGATTCAAAATGATGTATGTAAATCTTCGCTTAGTTTCTGTTCGTTTGAGGCATTCGAGCAATCATATTTCCTAAATATTAAAAATCTTGTAACCCCATTATGGACCAAGGCCAAGGCAAATTGATAGCTTGGTATCCAGGATGCTACTGAACATCTTTAAATCATGGTTTGAAGCTGTCTAGGGCCTGCAGGGCATCCAACCTTGAATACACGTGGATAATCATGGCTATATATTAAATATACTCTATATATATATACGCACTGCAAACTGCGAAAACACAAAGATGTGCCTGGGCAATAGGTATAACATATTACATCATGCAAGGCAACAAACAAGCCATTCACTGAAGCCAAGTCTTACTCATCCTTAGATACATGTTTCTGGGCCATGGGGTGGAAAGAGAGATGTGGAAGTTTCTAGCCGCCCAAAATGAAAATGCCCTTAATGCGGCGTGTTGTTTTCATGTTTTCCCTACCGGGCCAGTGCAGTTGATACAAGTTGTCCGGATATGTCATCTGAATGTTTTTTTCCTAAAATAATGGAAACGGGAAACACGTGGATACCGGGTACCAATCACTGGGTTGATTATCATCAACCCAACTAGGGCCATATTAAAAAGAACAACGCAAACAGCATTGAACAACTATATACATATATAATTACATATACATTGTAAAACAGAACATTGCCGACTCAGGGAATACATATAAACAAGCGCGGAAATCCGCCACCCTCTGTGAGTACCGGTTTCAAGTTGCAACTCAAAAATGCATAGGACGGTTGAAACCCTGGCCTCAAGCAGGAATCGCAACCAGAACTCAATATGTATATATATATGTATATATATATATGTGTGTATATAATTAAACATATATATATTGTATATATATATACTACATATATTGTATATATATAGTATATATATATATGTTGTATATATATATATATATTGTATATATATATTGTATATATATATATATTGTATATATATAAATATTGTATATATATATATATAAATATTGTATATATATATATTGTATATATATATATATATTGTATATATATATTGTATATATATATATATATATTGTATATATATATATATTGTATATATATGTATATTTATTGTATATATATATATATATTATAAATATTTTTTGTATATATATATTATATGTATATATATATATTGTATATATATATTGTAAATATATATTGTAAATATATATGATATATATATATGATATATATATATGTATACATATATATACACCTGTGTAAATGTTGCCAGCCAACCCCAATCAAAATTAAGCAAGCAACAGGAACCTTACCATTCCAACGTTTAAACCCAAAATCTTCTGGGCCATCAGCGACATGGCTGCCGGGAGGCCATGAGGTGCTTGAATTCTTTAAACTCCAGTTCCTGTCATCGGAAAAATGAGGAGATCATGATGCGCCATAGAACGACGCGAAAAACATCATGAAGAGTGAGCGAGCTTAGAGATTGTATATAAAATATTGTCAACATGATATTGAACATTGAACAACTGAGACAAACGTTTTTTTCTTTTCCGTGGCATTTTAACGAAAATCCAGGCCCTCTGACGTGGGGACGTGGGGCCGTGGGGTCTGGCAAGCTGGACCAATCTTCACCGTGTGGTGACACATTCCAAAAGCATGCTAGGTTGACCCACACAAACAACATATCCAATATTGTCCAATGTTGCTTACCAAACAGAAATATCACATCATATCATTACCATATCACATAATCTTGTCCAATGCCCTAGACATATCGACTCGAGAGATGACTCGAGTGACTCATATCATGTTTGAGCACCAGAACAAGCAGCCGAATGGCATTCTCAATGCTCCCGAAATCGTCAAATGGATCTGGGCCACACTGGGGTGCACACGAACTTGTTCGTTCCCCGCTTCTACAGTTAGCAAACACATGAAGTTCCATTAAAAATATCATCAATTTCCGTCAACAAATATTGATTTTTGCCAAGTTCTGCTGAGAAACCTCTTGATACCCTCCAGTAAACTAACATAGCTATTGAAAATGGCAATTTATAGCTGAATTACCCATTAAACATTGTGATTTTCCATAGCATTAGTTTACCAGAGGGTATTAACTGTTATCGAGCTCTATACGCTAACCACAATCTTTATATAGTTGGTACCCAGCCTTTCCAGTGAACCCCCTTCCCCGTTTTCCAGGTGCGACCAAGGCTCCCCATTGCCATCGTCCACTTCCCGAATCACTTCATCCAAAACGTGCGACCTGAGCGTTTTGGCAACGATTGAAACACATCTTGCCCAAAAGAAACAGCACAGGCCTGGAAAACTGGTTTTATACAAAGGGTATTATGAACACACACACACATGTGTATATATATATGTATATTATATACATATATGAATAAATATATATATATATATATGTATATACATACTGGGATATAGCCAAATTTGTATGGTGTATGTATAACCAACTTCATATATCTTGGGGGTAATTCGGAATTCTTGAGTCATCTCCAGTCCAATGCCAGGCCAAGATTAAGAGCCAGTTGGAGTGATATTAGTGTGAAACTGGAACACTAACTAGCACTACTATATATGTCAAAATTTTCTGGTTGGTGGTTTTAACTCCTCTGAAAAATATGATCATGAAATTCCCAACCAGATGGAAAAATCAAATTCATGTTCCAAACCACCAACCAGTTTTGGTATACCTCTAAATGGCATGTGTTTCAATTGTTTCCATAGGATTCAATGGGTCAAATTATTATAATTCAGAGGATTTGGGGGGACTCTATCAAACAAACAAACCCATATCAATTAATTATGGAATTGTCAAGGACCAGGCCCCGCTTCCAAAACCCCGGTTGATCCGTGGCAGAAGTGACGCCAAAATTTGGGTTGTTTCGAGTCTCAGCCAAGGCTTGCAAACATGCGCAAGGCTTGCAAGGCTTGAAGTAACAAGAAAATGAAAAACCGCTGGCAATTTGTCACAGAACAACGGAAACACAACAGTGAAAGTGAAAAAACACCATCTCAATTGGTAAATGATCGAACTCTGCAAATGGGCCATGATGGCCATGTTGGCCATGGCTTCCAAATTGGCAAACTTCTGCATTCTTCTCCTAAACCATAGAATTATTTGGTAAAAATAACGTAAAATAGTTCGGAAAATAAGGAGAATCATCAATGCATATTTCCCATTCATATCCCATTATTCCAAACAACCAAATTATTTGCCAGAAAGGCGGTATGCCTAAGGTAAACAGTAAACATGAAAAACAAAAAGTGGCAAAGCCACGATTTCCCGTTCGGAAAATGATGTGCACTTTGCTGACTTTTTCCCACATCAAATATCCCATTCATATTAGGACATATCATCCATTCATATTCCATATCCCATTCGTATCCCGTTCATATCCCATTCATATTCGCAGTGATCGGATCCATTATTCAAGTACTATAATTAGTGATATCCAAATACAAATACTCGGATCTCCTTTTATTCATATGGGGTTTGTCTTAAAATAGGCTACAGTACCAACAAATCCCATGGTTAATCATCATTTTCCCTATTAAACTGCCAAGTGGGGGCCTACTAACAATTTTCAAACACATCCAAATACTATATGATTATCCCCCATTTATATCCCTATAAAATAGTTGGTTCATGTTGATACACCACAATTTTCCCACTAAAAAGGTGAGCTTCACGGCCGTGTCACATAGGTTCGATGCCCAACTTCTGCAGCATCTCGGCTAGCTCTCCAGCCTTCCAGTTTCAAAGCTGCAACTGGTTGGTGCTATACCTACCCCTCTGAAAAAAGATTAGTCAGTTGGGATGATTATTCCCAATATATGGAAACTACAATTTCTCCTGCTTTGGATGATATGTACCTGGTTGGTGTTGCAATAACAATCTTGAAAAATATGCGTTCGTCAATGGGAAGGATTATCCCATATATGAAATGGAAAACAAAAACATGTTCCAAACCACCAGCCAAACAATTTCTCCTGCGGATGATATGTACATATAAATGCTAAATATTATGTACCTGATGGAAGAAGCTGTGCAACTCAACCTCGGTGGCTTCAACGATGTTCGCTACTGATCCCTCTTTGAAGATGTAAACCAATGTGGGTACCCTCTGGTAAACTGTCACATATCATAACTATGGAAAATCACCACTTATAGTGAATTTTCCCATGAAACATGGGGATGTTCCATAGTTATGTTAGTTTACCAAGGGGTAATTACCCACAATCAATGGATGACATATTAAAAACACAAAAGAGAACATATAGAGTTGTCATGGAAAATGCCATGACAATATCGCATGAATATGAACACCCCTAGATACAGTAGATACAGTAGTTATCCATGGAAAATCACCATTTTCAATGGGTAAATCCACCATAAAAGATCATAAAAGGCCATTTTCAATAGCTATTTTGACATAACCAGAGGGTATCCATGAATCTTCCATGAATCTATCGCTACTTTCATGCCATTTGGGTCATTTCTGGAGGCCGGCCGCCTCCATGGTGCCGGAGTTGTCCAAATCCGCTTCTTCAAAGGTGCCTATGGGACTAAGGTGCTGGGAAGAGTGCGAAACCCCCAAGATCTATGGTATACATAGCTATTAATCATGCTATATGGTAATTATCCAAGATCTAGTTAATAAGATATATGGTATCTTCATATATGAATGGTAATTATCCATAGATATACCGTAATTAGATATTGGGGTAATATCCATTATAATATCCATTATAATATCCATTATAATATCCATTATGTATATATATATATATGATATACTATTAATAATATATATATGTATATATACTACTATAGAATGGTAATATCCATTGTATCTTATTAACCAGTGAATCACCAGTATTAAACTAACATAGCATTAAACTAACATAGCTATTGAAGGTATGGTCCGTTTATAGTTGATTTACCGTAATGAAGAGTGGTGGTTTTCTGTCGTTTTTTCTATGTTTCGGGATCGGGGTACCAACCGGAGAATGAGACGAGGTGATCATCGAAGAATAAAGGATCCCCATACTGTGTGCACCTGGATAGTTATATATAGTTTACAGTTGCTTTATACCACCATATGGATCCATTTGAGCCCACAGCTGGGTAACTTATGATATAACTATGTTTCATCATTTTTCTTGGTCAAATCCCTATTTTTTGTTGCTTAAGTATTAAGTTCCCATTTCTGGTGACGCCACTGAAGGACCTCGTTTTCAGCGTTTTCGGCCAAGGGGCTCTTGTAGAAGTTGTCCTGTCGCGCTTCGTAGCCCTTTACGAAGTTCAAGAACTCTTCCAGCTCCTTGCTGCGGATCCAGGTGGGAGAAGCTGGGTATTGGAGGATCATGCATGTTAGCTTAATCAGAATGCCAATCATATCTATTGGAAAATGGCCATTGGGTAATATCCAATAATCAATATCAATATCATATCAATATCAATAAACCTATCAATCATATATCCAATAATCATCATATCCCATCATATGATTATTGGTTAACATAAATGTTAGACCATAATATCCAAGCTTGGTATTATACTATCCAGGATGGAATGCCAATCATATCCAATAATCATGTTGTTTAATGCTGATACTGTAATAGCTTGTAACCAACTATATCCAACTCATACTGTAGCTTGAGTGACGCCAGCTGTGCGACGCCCACCGAATATCCATTCCAACAGCTAGCCTCCAGTTTGTGACAGTTGGCTAACTGGAAAACCATGTTTTGTTGATGGTGATCTCATCATTTTCCAATATGTTCCATTTAAAGTTGGGGTAGCCGATAAACATCACTGCGTAGGCGTAGGCAATTCATGGCAATTCCCCGAATTGCTAGAGCCATGCTTATCCTGCTGAACTACATGGTGGAGTGACCCTCCACAAGTCGAGGGTTGAAATCTCAAGCCTTTAATCAACCCTTGAAAATGGAACTTTCATCAATATCACCCCCTCCCCCCCAAAAAAAACATGTACCCTCTGGTAATTGAATATAGCTAGTGAAAATCACCACTTCTGTTTTTGCTCAACCATCGAACCCAAGGGGCCATATCCATGCTACCACAATAACTTCACGTCACCAAGATTCTAAGGTGGAATACTTCGTGATAGCATCACCTTCCGAGAAAGGCTGGGAATCCCTGGGCCAAACATAAATCCTACCCCGTTAGTATTGAACACCCCCGAAATTGTCCCAAGGAAATCCCTACTACAACAACTGGTTGGTGGTTAACCTACCCCCCCCGGAAAAATATGAAAGTCAGTTGGGATGATATGGAACAATCAAATTCATGTTCCAAACCACCAAACAGATAAAGCATGTTTTTTGGGGGTGTTTGGAGAGGCTATTTCTGAAAGAGCAAGAACATCAGCATTATGGACCTACGACTGAACAGAGATTTTCCATAGGTTCAACGCTGGAAATTGTCCAGCACTGTGATCATCGCTTGACATCGCAAGGATCGCTCCCTTGACACCCAAGGATCCTTCATTTATGACCCTTTGTTGTTGACGTGCATATGTTCATATGTTCAACATCGCCATCATTGGTGAGATCGGCCAGACGGCCAAATCATATAGAATCTACCTACTAGAGGTATCCATATTATCCATGTTCTAAATCCACCATTTCTGGGACTACCCTCTGGTAAACATACAAAACACTATGGAAAATCAGCATTGTTAATGGGAAAACTCACTATTTCAATGGTCATTTTCAATAGCTATTTTGACATAACCAGAGGGTATCTTTCTGTTGTCCAAACGCCGAAACACAAGCGCTGTCCACCCAGGATTGTCGAATGCCCACGAACCCGCACAACCTGGGCGCGAGGCTCGAAGCAATTTCTGTCGCATAGCCTCTGTGTTAAATGTATATGCTCCAACAGGGATGATAATGGTAGATAGATATATATATATATGTGTGTTTTTTTTAAATATATATATATATATAATATTGACGGATGACATAATATAATATATCCATCTTTAATCTTATATAACATATATATATATATATTGTTTTTTTGATGGGTAAGTAATAAGACAATAATGGGATCTATAAATAATATATATATATATATATACATATTTATATTGATGGATGAGTAGTAAGACAATCATGTTGGATTTTAAGGCGTACCAGTACATACCCTCCGGTCATCTGCAATCAACGGGAGTATCAAATCATGAGTTTCGACTGCCACAAAAAAACAGTGCACTTTCCTGTTGTATGATTGACATGGAGATGCCAACCTTGTTTCCGAGATTTCCGGAGGTATTAAGTGCCAAAATCATCAGGGACCCCGTGAAAATGCGAATGTCTACACTACATATATGTCAATGGTAGTATCAGTGGGCAACTCCTCCATTTCTGTAGCAAACATTGCCGTATTCACAAACCAAGAACTGGACACATTTCAGATTTAAGCGTGAATGTTTTTGGATACAGTTGTTTATTATTATTATATTATTATTATTTTATGATGATTATTATTATTTTATTATTATGAGTATTATTTGTTGGGATAATGCACAGCAAATCGCCATTTCAGTGGGTTATCTATTTTTTGATCGTAAACTCCCCATTTTGCATGGCCAAATCCATCCCCTTTTCCAGCATCCACAACCCCTGCCGCTGTTCGGTTGCTGAGACGCTCCAACCCTTTTGGCAGTTCGTCACGGTGCACTTCGTTGTGATCCTGGAGTTTATTGAAGACCTAAGCTCCATAGGGCTGCGCAGTACTTGGTTGACCCCAGACACCACCCAAAAAAAAGTGGTATACATATAAATTATATAATAATAATAAATGTTAATAATAACAAATAAATAATGTATATATATATATTATATATATACTGCGTACTCATGGATGACATGAATACTATGCATTGACATAAACACTTACCGCAACTTGCTTTTTAAACTTGTTCTTGACTCCTTCAAGCCCTGAAGGTTGATTCGAAAGTCTGCTTGGTTCTGCGTTTTGTTTGAGATATTATAGTCATCACATACATCATGCAACAAAACCAACACGGGGGAGATGAATCTAAAGAATCAGAACCTACCAAAAAGAGTGACAACACATACAATAACACCAAATGCATCCAGTACCCCAAAAATTGGAGTCACCAGGAAATGTAAGCCCACAAAGCTACCTGCTTTAACCAATGGGTGCTTGGCACTCACACACTGTTTTTTTCCCTCTCATCTATGTATACCCGCATTCTTGACATGTCGGATGGTAGCCATCCCGTCTCGAAAGTAGTCTCAACCAGGGTATATCATGTCCAAGGGGTGATTTTTGTTGTGCGGAACAATCCAACTTTTGCATTAAACCCAAACCACATCAACTATTCTACTTCTAGGTCAGACCTAGATGTTCAGTGCAGAATTCCCAACATACGGGTATGGTTGCACAAATTGAATGGCGAATACTACACTCACCAACATTTACCAAAATCTCTGGTCCTGCGGGCATGTAATTTTGACCCATACCCATATCGAACCAATATATTTCCACTATGTTTCCCTGTTTTGTTGCATTTCGGTGCTTAAAATCCGATCTATTTGCTGGTTCGAATCACCATTCTTGTTCCAGCTAAGTCAGTTTTACCAGTCACTCCATTGGTCTTTTCGGGAGAATTTACAGGAAACTTCTATATTTGATGCGGAAAACACATGGTTTCCGGTTTCGATGTTCCCTTTAACCAATCCACTTCACCGGCAGTTTCAAGATCCTCAATGGTTCTACGAAGGGACGCTGACGCGCACATCTTCCTTGGCGTTCAGGATCATCTCCTCTCTCATCTCAGCGGAGCTTTGCCGCTTGTGACCACCTGGTTGGACATTGGAAATGTTTGAAGAGGTGTGTTTTGGATATAATAATCATAGTACTCTAATTACAACTAATCACACTAAAGAGGTGTGTGTTTTTATTAGGTTATATTCATGTTTGGATATATGCTACTACTATAATTTAACACCATGAAACATCTCTCTCCCTATATATAAATATGTGTATCTATATTTATAGGTTTGTTGCTGAACACTAAAAACACATTATATAATGTATTCATCAAATAGGCGTCTGACCCAATCCCAAGACTTCCTGAATGGAGGGCTGCCCGCGCCAATTCGCCCATGGGAAGTGCCCGGCCATGAGTGACACACAGCATTGGGATTTAAGCAGCGACATACGGGAGATTATAATTTTGGTATTGAACAAACAATTCTTAGTCCTGGTTGGTGCTGGGGGTATGAATCACATTAAAAACCCTTGTGATCTTCCAACATCCTGCTGGGAACATGCAATGGATCTCCCCACATCACATGCATCATCCAATGGTACACTTCCCGACTGGTCAAGGGGATGGGATACTTACAACATCTTGAAACCGTAGCTCAAGTACTCACAGAAGGTGCTTGGAACCACATGGAAGGAACACATCTACAACATCCTGAAACAAAAAATGAACAGATTAGGGTCTCTGAAACTTTATGTCAGTTGAGGGCCTTGTAGATTTTATCTTAGTATTATATTTTGGTACCATCATGCGCTTCCATTTTGGTACCACTATGCGCTTCCATTTTGGTACCACTATGCGCTTCCATTTTGGTAACACTATGCGCTTCCATTTTGGTACCGCTATGCGCTTCCATTTTGGTACCGCTATGCGCTTCCATTTTGGGAGCAGTATGCGCTTCCATTTTGGTACCACTATGTGTTTCCATTTTGGTACCCCTATGTGCTTCCATTTTGAGAGTAACAACACTGTACCCATTTTTAGCGGCTCATATGGCCCAACAGGGTCTCTGAAACTTTATGAATGTCTTGCCAAATGAACTCACAACAGCCACTGCCGCTAACAAACATACAAATTAAACCTACATATAACTCATATAACCAGCAACTACGTACACATATATGATATCCATGAGGGCAATGATATGCATAGAAAGTCAAGGGGTATAAAACGATCGCGGTGGAGGGGTCAAATGATCCTTCTAGACCAGCCTTTCCAGACCTTGCTTGAGGGTAGCATGATTTAATGTATCATTTTAAGTCCCACAAAAATCCTAATATAATTCCCCAATTTCTGGATTTACCAATGGGAAAGTAAAAACGTCACCAACAAATTTACTGGTGCGTTTTACGTAGGGTTGCTGGATGGGTTGCTGGGGGTTGCTGGGATGATGACATTACTAGTGATGAAATGGATCATTCCCGAAAATTCCCTGCGTTTAGCACAGCACCAGTAAGTTCAACAAACCCATCATCCAAGCACTGGGGCGAGATGCAATTCCTACAAACATCAGCATCGGAGCTGAACAATTGCCCGCAGTTATCGCAAAGCTTGCTGTCTCGAAAGCTGCCTGGACACTGATGGGGATATCCAACATGAGTGCTGGGATGATCTTGAGTGATCTGTGTTATTCTGCAAAAATAAATGACATTTTGAATGAGAGTGGATGTTTTTTCTTCATGATCTTTGATTGTCTTTAAGTAGTTATACATGCTGTTTGATGTATTTAATGATCTTTCAAACATCTTTGATTGTCTTTGTGGACCATGGGATTTCGAGACGATTTATACCCGTACGTTTAATCATTGAAATAGTAATCTCAGAAAGTAAAGATATAATTCTCAAAGCCTTGGATTTCCCAGTTTTAATGGTTAGTAGTCCCACCACCCGATCATGGTGAAACACATGGATGGCACATGATGCAAAGGAAATCAGGGAAGTGGATGGCAAACATATTCGACTCACGCATATATCACACTTTGGGCGTCAGTGAATATTTAAATGTATATGTGATTTTATTTATTTTCAAAAATGCAGTATAGATATATATATATATATACCTATAATATATATATACATACATAAGACTGCGGTATACAAGAGTTCTATTGTATAATTGTATATATATATATATATCATGTTAGTAAAACACCCTATGTATATATATATATATGTGGTACTATCAAAATGTTAGCTAAAGTAGTTGTATTTCCTGGTTTCTGCCACGTCACACATGGGGCACCCCAACTGAAATCTGAAGTCACTTGATTGCCAATTGCTGTTAGCAACCACAAGGGGCTCCACACTACACATCTATCAATCTATCAATCTATCAATCTATCAATCTATTCATCTATCTATCTATCTATCTGTCTGTCTGTCTGTCTGTCTATCAATCAATCAATCAATCAATCAATCAATCTAATCTATCTATCAACCTATCTGTCACACACAAAAATATGTATATATGTATTTACATATGCATATACATAGGTGCCATGGTCAAAAGATTGTATATGGGTATGTTCATCCATCCAATAATAGTGATCCTTGTGCTGGATGCACAAATTTCTAGTCAGGAATTGATGACCTTCACCAAGGCGCCACTCTTCTTGCGTTCCTCGGCACGCATCCAGCTGTCTATGTGGTGCCCGTGATGGTTCTATCCACTGGTCAACTAACATAGCTATGGCCCATTTGTTTTGCGGATTTGCTTATTGACATGGTGAATTTCCATAGCGAACTGTTGGTTTACCCACTTGGGCACTTGGAATGATCCAAGTGAAGTTTGTTGTGTAAATGACTAGTAGGACAGGTTGGTGGTGTCAACCCTCAGTCCAGTGGCTGCCGTGGCACAGAAATTTATACCAAACCACCTGCAAAGTCTTAGTCAATGGGGACCACCGCGGGTAAAATAAAACAAAAAAACCACCCCAGATAAGGCTTCTGATCCCTCACAATATGGAGGTTTCCTAGAATGGGAGGGTACTCCCAGTCATCATCCATTTGAGTTAAGGATTTTCCATGATAAACCATCCAGCTATTGGGGTACCCCTGGGGCCCCATTTATGGAAGCACCGGCCACTGCCACTGTGCACAACTGTTGGGCTGATTTTGAATGGGATCTGAACGGGGGTAGCATGGAAAATCCCCAGAGGTAATTGATGATTAATCACTATATATATATGTGTATATATATATATATGAATCTACTGGTTGGTGGTTTTAACCGTTTTGAAAAATATGAAAGTCAGTTGGGAAGAATTATCCCATATATTATGGAGAATACACAAATGTTCCATTCCACCAACCAGGTGTATAATATAATAATATAGTTCAAACAAGAATAATCTATCCTCCAGTCATCACCATAAATATATAGGTACAGTATGTTTACCATTCCCAGTCATGGCTAGTAAAAAATGGCATTGTTTCAACCACATCATCATGATGTTGCTTGGTGGTTGAATCCCATCCTTGTCATACCCCAGAAAATCCCGTGCATCCACCATGGTCACCATGCCTAAGCCCTGGGCAGAACACCAGCCGATTACTAAAACATCTCCGGGATACACCTCCTTCACTGAACATGGCATTATGAATTCTACCATCAGTTGCCAAACGATGTCTAAAATGTAAGTTGGTTCTAAGTCCAATCAACCCATATGAGATTAGTTCAAAATGGTAACCCCCCATTGCTCATCAATCCACATTGCACTGCCAATGATAGCTAGTGCAATGGGTAATATGTCCCCACTTTCGGCAGCACCATGAAAGAAGTGGTGCACTAACTTACCCAACTAAAAACAGCAATCCTCATGTTTATTGTTCTTGTGTTTCTTTACATAATGAACGGGTTACCATGTGATTCAAACAATGAGTGTAACGGAAAAATGGGTATACCCACCAAACTAGCCATTAGATACAAGTAGGAAATATAACGATTCACCACTGGATTTTGGGGTAATTACCCCACATTCAAACCCATATCCCATCTTCAATCTGATTACATCTCCAATGAACCAACTTACGGCCTTAAGTTCAAAGAACATTCCCTTATACATAGGCCCATATTATTATGGTAGGTACCTCCGAGAAATCGGTTCCCAAGTTTTGGCGAAGCCAACCTCCACCAGGGCACCGTTTCGGAGCGCGTCAAGACCACTGAGGGCGTTGGCGAGTTCTCTGGCGACGCCGGCCGTGCCAGCGGCAGCGACGCGACGACGGGCAGCGCGACGGGCAGCGCGTCGGGCTCCGTCAGCAGCCGGTCGGTGCTGAGGACGTGGTGAGGGGAACTGGGTGCCTCCTGGGACTATCCGAAAGAGGTCCCACAAATTTATGGGTGAAGTCCCAAAAACCATGGTTTCTACAAGCTGTTGAATATTCCGCTAATATTAAAGAGGCCACAAAAACATGGGGCAATCCTCCTATACTAAGCCATGGTTTCAAAAGGGTGTTTTATTGGTGTTTTAATTTTTGGGGATGGGATTGTATAGAATCAACCTTATAGTCAGTGAATGGTCTGGCCAAAAAAGAATGAAAAAATAACCCTATAAATAAATATATATATATATATTATATCTGATGAGGCGTCAAGTATGAATGCAACAATCTTATGGGTATATGATGGGGGCATGACGGGAATAGGATTGGAATTAAATAGATTTTGCACATAGAACCAATGATATGCAATGCATCCAGTTACATGGGATATCACATGGGATACGTGGGGGGGGTGGTTGAACACCAACCATTTTATGGGGATACAATGTTGAGATTTGCAAAGGTGCAGCCCTGCAAGATAGTAAGGGCTGGAACAACTCACGGACAATGCCAAACACCGCGTTCCTATTTTTTCGCGACTTTGACCTTCTATTTTCCGCCACAACGTATCCAGCATGGCCCATCGCCAATGGCTGACCTTAAATACCCAGATCAAACAAACACGCAGTTGCGAAGATTAGTACATCTGTCTTCATCTATTTTCCCATTTAGTCCCCTACAATAATCTAACGTGGATGTGGAACATTTGTGAATTGTAGACCATTTTTGAAGGAAACCCATGGGGTTTTCCACATCTGAATTGTGAATAAGTCGTATAGAATGTCACAAACGAACATCTACAACTGGTTGGTGGTTTTAACCATCTTGAAACATATGAAAGTCAATGGGAAGGATGACATCCCATATATGAAATGGAAAACCAAACATGTTTGAAACCAGCAACCAGACAATCTAGTAGCTCATAGCAGCTTCTTGGCTACCCCTTTAAGAGGGAATTTCTAGATACCGCTCAGCTCATCACTGCTCCCAATCCATCAGCGTCCTTCCGATCCTTCCGACTGCCCTGGCGGCGGAAAAAAAAACACTGAGGAAAAGCATGGTCCTGCGACTTAGAACGGCCATGTTTGTGAGTTAATTAGTTAGATCATGTTGGATCAAAGTTGGATCTGGTTAGTAAATGGATTATAATTGGGATTGTTCGTGGTATTTTATAATCCAGCTACTAACCATGAAATCACTAATTTCATGGCGCATCGAGATTCCAAGGGCTGTTGGGAGGAGCCACCCTTTCTCAGCTGAAAACCTTTGCTGCTCCTATAACCTGGCCCTGTGACAAGTATCACTTAACATCTACCTGTTGGTTAATGATGGTTAATATTAATGATTGTTAATATTAATGAGGGTTAATGACGGTTGATGATGGTTAATGATTGTTGATGATGGTTAATGATTGTTGATAGTAATGGTAGACATGATCACTCAATTAAACTCATGTCATGGCCAGCCATGCAAAAATAATTGCTTGGAAAAAATGCCGTGGGCATTTTTAGAATTCCCATTTGTTGCAACAGATTCTTAAGCAGTCAAGAAACATCCAGGGTTGACCCGGTAATATGTCATGACCCAAAATCAAGCTGATGACCTCCCGCCATGGTCAGGGCATGGGTGGCCATTTTAAAGATGGGGGATGCTCATCGCCTTCTATGGGAAAACTGATAATGGCACCAAAAAAATATATCCGATGTCTAGTATTGTCTGGTCACAATCAAAGCCCTTGGCGGGCCTGAGCTTGACTTTTGCATCGACACAGCCAGGGGCCTGGGAAAGTTCAGGCGGCTCCAGATCTGTGGTGAAGCAAACGGTGATTACAATCACACACAAATAACAACTCATGGAGATGATTGGTTAACCAAAAGTCATTTACTGTATGTATATACATGTAACATGTATATTAATATATACATATATATATAATATAGGTTTTAGTATGTTTTAGTATCCAAACTGGGGTTCTGATCTAAATATGTCTCAAAAAAGTCTTACATGCCCTGAAAGTCATATTTTGACTCATTTCACACACCAGTTTGAAATAATGATCATCTGCAACCGACCCAGGGGTAAAATGAGTGGGATATCTTGGGTTCAACAAGACAACACAAGAAATTAACATGAACCGATCGGCGATCTAAGACCCGGTACTTCGAGCTGCACACTTTGTACTTGTGTATAGTGACACAATTTAGACAACCAAACAGTGGGAATTTATGATTTAGAAGCTGGTTTTTGATTTCACTCTGCACAACATATTGAACACCTTAGAATTTGTCCATAAGAAACACGGGTTCCACTCTGCATTTTTCTGCAGCGAAATATGATAAAATATGGACATGTTGATGCACCAGTTGCAACGATCATTTAAACAAACTACCCGGTCAAAGCATTTCAATAGATAAACAGAGGATCACCATATCATGGCAGCATCCCCGCAATCCATTGGATTTAGGGGCACAAACGATTTTCAGACGAATCAAAATGCAGTTTCTCAGGTTTCAGTCTTTAATCTGAACCTCAAAATGTCTAGTACAATTGATAGCTGGTCGCAGACTTGGCAGCTTGAGATTTATATTTTGCCATCCCAAAACAACATTGAAAACCACCGGTATTTTGATGACCGCATTCTGGGCTGGCTCCGATGGTCCAGCTCACCGATTGTCGTTGATAGATTCATGGGGAGAAACAGTGCCAGCCACCAATACCCTCTGATTATGTCAAAATAGCTATTGAAAATGGCCATTGAAATAGTGGATTTACCCATTGAAAATGGTGGATCTTTCCATAGTTGTGGGACAGTTTACCACAGGGTAAACGAAACAATTCGAAGGTCTACCCTGTTTGTGAGGAAATTCACTTTGAACGGTAGCGGGCAATGTGTAACTTGAATCTAAAATATATATAGTGACGGACATATACTTAGAACATCATTTTTTCCAAAATTTCGGAACCTTTTCTTAGAACATCAAAACAACTACACTTAGAACATCAGAAATGTTCTAAGTACGCACTTAGAACGTCAGAAAAACAGATACTTAGAACATATCCTTTGATTTTTTGCATACTTAGAACATTAAACACACATATACTTAGAACATGTCCTGTTACTTTGGTAAATCTGCATATATACACACAAATACCTTGGTGAACGCCATACTTAGAACACTTTCTCCCCTCACTGCTGCAGCATTCTATACCTTTTCTTCGGGAACAATATCCCAAGCAGTCTTCGCTGCAATGGGAAGGTCTCTAGTATATAATTTGTGGGTTTCCTACAGCGGGTAGTCAAAAAGCATAGGTTTCAATAATAAGATGAGCTAAAATGAATTATGTGTAATTTTGAATGTTTTGGAGATGCCTCATTATTGGTTCCCCACTGGGATGTTCTAAGTATAGCTTGGAAATGTTCTAAGTATAGGTTTTGGGTATGTTCTAACGACTTAATACTTAGAACATCCCCGCTGTGACGATTTTCAGTTTTTTTTCCAAATGATGTTCTAAGTATTTGTCCGTCGCTATAATTTGGGACCGTATTTTTCACAGAACCTCACGTCATTGCTGGGCATCATCAATTTCCCATCATGGGATTTTTTGAAAAAATGCCAAGAATCAGGGGCTCATCACCAAACTCCAGTTTCAGATGCGCAAGTTTCCACGCTTTGAATTTTGATTCGCTTGAGAATCACGTGCGTGTTTTTAAACATGTATGTTTGACAAGGTTGACCCAGCAGTATGTGATTAGCAGTATGTGTTATTGATACTTAGTAGGCATACAGTAAACGCACATGAGTACCATGAGTCTGTTTTGATAACTTAAAACAAAAAAACACAAAAAATAAATATACAAACACACATGTCGAGACTGACAAGTATACAATATATATATATATCTGGTTGGTGGTTTCAACCCGTCTGAACAATATTAGTCAATGGGAGGGATTATCCCAGGTCCCATATATTATGGAAAATACAAAACGTTTGAAACCACCAACTAGTATAACAACGCCACATATTTACACATCCACACGCTGATGGGTGAACACCGACCACCCCACCCCCCCTGGCGTCATAGCGAGTCGCTGCGGCAGATGCACCTTGCGCCCACGGGCTCCGCTAGGACGCTGCCCTTGGTGCCGCTGATGCGGAGCTTGACCTGGCGATGGCACCAGGTGACCAGATGCTTTGATGGGCATTTGTTGTACCAGTACCAGCTAGTTGGTTAGTTGGTTAGTTGGTTAGGTGGTTATGTTATGTTATGTCTTGTGATATTCTGTGATGAGATGTGATGTGATGTGATGTGATGTGCTGGTTGGTTGGTTGGTTGGTTGGTTGGTTGGTTGGTTGGTGGATGAATGAAGTCGTTAGCATTTGGTGATTTAAAGTGGGTCATATTTGCACTGCCGGAAATTGAATAATATGGGCCATGGATGGCCATGGGGGGTTTGAACATATAAGGATTTTGACGGGATTCTACTACCAAAGATGGGAAGGCAAACAACAAATGTTGAAGGTTGGTCGGTAGTCAGCTCACTGGATAATGCCAAATGTCATGCGGTAGAATTGAAGTTTACAATACAGAAATTCTATAGTTATATAGTCAGTCAGTCGGTTTGTTAGTTCGTTCGTTCGTTAGTTACTTAATTTGTTAGTTTATAGTTGATGATTTCTGGGTCAACAAATTCCTTCCTTTTCACCGCAGGAAAAGGCTGGATGGAGGCATGTTGAAATGCTGAAATTACACCCTTAAAATGGGAGTGTAACACTTCTGATGAACCAAGAAAATGGGTGATTTAAGCAACTCGGTATGTCCAAACTGTTTACAGACAAAACAGCAAAGAGACATGAACAGTGAAACTATCGACATGTGAAATATCCAAAGTGCTTTGGCAAATATCAAATATATCCATTTATGTGTTTTTTTGACCTAAAATCCATCCCAAAACTTAACATGTCGCCACGGATCAAATGGGCCTTGGTATCTTGGAGTTGAACGGTCCTGATGCACATCTTGGCGCTCCGCGCGAAGAACATTTTGTTGCTACAGGGTGCGATAGGTAACCTGCCGTGAAGGTGCAACAAACGAAATTTCACGAATTGCGGGTAGAACCCAAACAATCAACAGTTCTGGAAGCAGCCAAGAAAATTTGATCAAAAAAAACCAGTTACAATGTGTAGAAGGCGCTTAAAATTAAATGACTGTAAAAAGATGTATAGGATAAGACTCTTTACAAGATCCACCTGGATGGGGAAAACGCATTTGACAAAAAGCGATAATTAACCGAACCACCAAAAAAAGAGAGCTTACTGCAACTTGCAACTGGGATCTCTTCAAGCACTACAAAACTAAGAACCATATCCGCGGGAAAACTATGAGTTCAACAGCATTATATAGGATCTTAGAGTTGTGTCCCATGTGCAGATGGGTGCCAAACATCTCCTGATGAGCTGGTCAGGTTGAAACTAAATTCCAATTCCAAATGTACAATAACCCTGCATATCCAGCCATCAAGCAATATTAACAGACAAACAACATAGTTCCAATATGCAACACAAGATTCAAGAACCTTGAAAACATCAAAGATAAAAACTGGAAATGACAACATAAAATCTGCAAAACAAATCTTACAGATAAATGAAAACATATATATTTAAATGAAGATTATAAATTCATGATTCTACCATACATGTATGCAAAGACACATGTCTACATATACACATACGTGCATACGCAAATATATATATATAATATATATTATATAATATATATATTATATATATAATATATATATATATATATATTATATAATATATATATATATTATATATATATATTATATTATATATATATTATATGTGTTTATAAACAAGTCTTTCAAATCTAACCAACAATTTAACATATATCAATGCACAAAGGAAAACAATGACGAACAAACACACATCGTCAACATCCACTTGTATCCCAGCCCATGCATCTCAGCCGCCCATGCTTCGGCTCAGGCGTTGGCTCCGGCAATGGCGCAAGGATTGCCGTTGGTAGCAGCTGTTGCCAGCTTGGCTCCCGCTGAAACTTGCGCCTCAGGAGGGTCAGCTGGGGCACACACTGCATATAATTACTGTGTGTATAGATGCGGATGGGTCAAAACCTCTTGCCATATTTGGAGGAAGAATCATCTTAACCAGCTATTTTAGGGTACCAAATGGTACCAGGGTTTTGACCTATAACCATATGTGTGTATATGTGTGTTCTTTTAGATGTGGATACTCGGAATGCTGCTGCTGACGTGTGCTTCGACTTGAACGGCGCCATGGCGCTGATTAAAAAATATATAGATGTGGAGGTTTCCTAAATAGGGGTACCCTCTGGTTATTTAACATAGCCATGGAAAATCACCATTTTCAATGGGACAATCCACTATAAATGGCCATTTTCAATAGCTATGTTAAATTACCAGAGGGTACCCCCAGTCATCCAAATTGGACCATGACTTCGTATTGAAATGGCTTTGATGATTTCCATATTCAGAACCACCATAGAAGGACCTTAGCAATGCCTGAAAGATAGAAAAGTTAAGGAAGCCTGGCAAACACGGGGAAAACGCCATCTAAACCATGCTGGAAACAACTGTTTATTTATCTTTCTGGGAGTTGCTGGAAGATGCTGTAAACTAAATAAAAAAAGACACCATACCTGGATCTTCGAAAGGACACACATAATTGTCCGTTTGCAGGATTTCTGACCTTAGGGCGGATTTCTTGTGAAGGACCTTGACATGATCATTTTTTGACAACTGTTGTCAATTTTGTATTTTGATCTTACTTTACATTGCAAAAAAAAGTGTCAAAATACCCGGGCAAACTCAACATGACTAATGGGCAAATCTTGAAAAATGGACGGACATCAAACCAAAATCTGCTCTGGACAGAAATTTCGAACCAATGAGTATCCAGGTATTTTAGACAGTTACATATGACATATGTATTCATGCTTGTGCCTACGCCCCGAAAACTGTAGGAGTAAAACACAGGTATCCAGCAAATTCAACATTCTGAGGACGGTACGGTGATGTTACGGTGACGATGTTACGTTGAAGATGTGTTTTTTATGCTGTCACGTTGAAAATATTCCGGTGATGATTGGGGTGGGGGGGAGGTGGGGACCCGTTAACGTTCCATGGGGTGGTGGGGTGGGGACCTGCTCACGTTCCATGTGACACGCCAATGATTGCCAATGATGCTACATTGATGATGTTACGACCAAGCTTGGAGTGGGTGCAAAGCATTCATTCCGAAGCAGCTCAAAGTCAGTCAGGTCTGATTGAATTGTACACGGCTGCGTGCCAGTGGCGCTATATCAATGGGCAAACGGGCAAACCTTGACACATAACCCTGCAAAACACTCAGTTGTTACCTAGCGGCTACTATATATATCCTCATTGATGGGAAAACAAGCAACGTACTAACTTACCCATCCAAGGTTTACTCAGCATCTACCATGAATCCGCCCAACTATATCCACCACAAACCCTAGTTGCACCGCATAGTTGTAAACCAACTTACCCATCATATCCCATGAAATATCAACAAATGTATAATGGTAAAATGCCAATTCTATTGACTAAATCGACTAAATCCTCATTTTGATTGGTTAAACAACGCTCTCCATATCCAGATGTGATTCAATATGTTAACTTCGCCCTTCAACAATCATAACCATATAAATCCAGAATCTTGTTGGCAAAATCCTCACGGCCCTTCCTGAATTCTCTTAAATCCCCATCTAAAATGCGGAACCATCGATGTCGCAGTCCCTGTGGTCAAGTCACCTGGTTTTCTTGGCACGCCAGCTCCGCCAGCTGACAGGAGCCGTTTGGCTCATGCTTTTCACCGATGCACCTGGAAGGCAGCGCGTTAGTTGGTGGTTTAGCCATGACAAGTTGGGATAGAACCAACAAAAATGGTGACTTCACCAGCAAAGATAGGGACTTAAGGAACAAACATCATCAACATTATCAACATATTGGGTTTTTAGTGGGAAAAAGCCTGGGGACGTACAACCAACCATTTTTGATGTCCAGGGACATTTGGTGGGTAAGTTAAAGACAAATAGAAAGGGAATTCACTAGATTAGATCAGCTGTCTGATTGGACTCACATATTGACTGGTCATCTTGAGGCATTCAACTACTCTGAAGCGTCTCATGTTGTCGGTCCACGAACGCTTGACCTGACCCGACACGGGCCACTGTCCAACTTGCACAGCCCAAACTCTTGAATATCTTCTAGCCTGGGATAAACCATCCCCAATTTGTCATGTATGAAATGGGCTGTTCAGAAGTATACGGTCCCTACTTGGAATGCTGTAAAAGGACTCCCTCTGATGGTTACTGGAATGTCTGACATCGGGTTTACCACGACATTCTTCTGCCGATATTGACACCTGATTGGTTCCAGCTCCGCTGTTGACCTTCAGGCAATCAAACATGGCTGGCATCCACTAGAGATGGAGGATTGAATGCGAAAATCATCTGCAAATGCATGATTTTTCATTGCCTTGTTTGATTACCGGAGGGTAACTGCACCCTGGCGAAATGTGGAGCAAATGTCGGTGAAATTCTTCGAAATGTCGGTGAAATTCTTCGTGATGCTCCATGTCGAGGAAATGCCTCTGGTTTGAATGGTGTTTCCCAATTTGGTAGGCTAGATGTATTTAGAATTTAGATATATGTGTTTTTTGGTGCTGTCTGATGATAGGGTGTCCTTAAGTCTGATAGTTCAGTGGGCATTTTGGTGGTATCCTGGATCGGTATCCTCCGCAAAATGCCCGGACAAAAAATCACATAAACGATCCACAAAACGTTGTTGTTTCGTAGCCCAAAGTATCCATAACATGTTGGCTTTATCACCATGGAATTGACTATATAAGTATCCCATTTTTTGGTTATATCATGTTGTATCCCGCATTGTATCCCCCATATTGATGATATGCTATTTCACCAGTATTGGGCAAAATACAAACCTGTGAGAACTTCATTCATAAGTACCAAAAAGGTAAACTAACATAACTATTGAAAATTGCCCATTTATAGTTGGTTTACCTATTAACAATGGCGATTTTCCATAGTTATGTAAACGTTTACCAGAGGGTAGTCCATACTATGCAGGGTTTTCCTTGAATATCATCCAAAATCTTGGGACGGTCTACGGACCCAAATGATTCTGGCCTGATATCCAAATAGCCGAGATCACATGTTTTG